AAAAAAAACAACAAACAGTCCAGCATGGAGTGCAGTGCCAAGTTCAGCAACTTGAAACAGGCCAAGAGCAGCATTTGGAATTTCTGTTTTATTACACATAGAATTATACTTTTTTTGTTTTCCTGTTAAATAAATTATAGTCAGTTGGCATTTCACACAAGTCATATGACACATTTTCATCGGTTTTGTAGTTATCAAATGAGTACAACAAGGGAGCAAAATTAAATTACACGGGCCCTCCTCTTGGATATTGTCATTTTGGGTTGTGCTCGCAACAAAAGGTGAAACGTTTCTAGCCAAAGACTGCTTTGATATCTTAGATTTTTAACAACATGCTTCTCAAGTATCTGAATATTTGGAATTGCTCTGTAATTACTTACCCTGGAGTATCTCTTGACACAGGGTGGATTCTCGTGGGCTGGCTCTGTGTGGCAAAGCATATGGAAGTGCAGTTTAAGAGCCTAAACTATGAAGCACTGCTTCAGTTTACAGAAATTCAAAGATTATGCCTCATCATTCGTTATTTGTTACCCCTGGAACAGGAAAAGCCACCACTTGTGAGTTCCCTCCTGGCTGTGCTGCCTGAAGCTCAGGCTTCCACAGCACACACAGAGGGTCAACAATTCTTTGACTTTCTTAAATAGACACCTGACTTCCCACGGAGAAGGGAGGGAAGACTGAAGTGCTTTAAATTCTAAAGCACCACCTCCAATTCTGTTTCGTGATGAACAAAATCTTATGGTACACACTTATTTAAAAATAGATTTTGAAATGCTACATATGGACTGAGAATGGCATTGGTTTATTTACCACCACATGGGGTGGTAGCAGCTTTAGGACAAGGAAAGGTTGGGAATTAATTGGTGAAGCTAGCATAGCTTTTTAAATATAAATAAGTATTTTTAAACACCTTAGTGATGTTTATAGATATTTTCAAACCAAACAAAGTACAAAACGCACACTGGCAGTCATTCCTGCCCAAACAGTGCCTGCATTTCCTGCACTGCAGCACAGGATGGCTGCTTACACCCACACAGGTGGAATTCCAGGGCAGGGGCAACATGTTCAACTCTGGGAGTGTGACCGCTTTATTGCATGTGCCACACGAATCAGAGACTGCAGATAACCCCAGTCAAAACACCTTCTGGACACCTAATGATGAGAGTCTGCAATGAACACCTCGTACTGTGAAAGCCTTTAAATGGGAACAACTCCAGCAGCTTCACTTACAAATCATCTGTGCAAAAAGTACAGTATCTCATAAATAAACTTTACCCAAACATTACAGAAAAAAAGCTCGGGGGGACATGGAGTATAAATACAGCGACAGCTGGGCTGCAAAATTAATTTAGGTATATACAGTAACACGCTCCCCATTTCTTTCCCTGGATGTACCTTGAACCTCCCTGAGTCCTTTTCCACCCTTGGTGACACGACGCATTCCCAGTGGCTCGCTCACCAAGAGCCACGGCAGCTCCAGCACGAGAAAGGTGGGCAGGAGCACCCCCCCCCCGGCATTTGCCACGGATTTATTTGAATAAATCACTGTACTTTGGCTTCCAAGAGCCCCCCGGTGACGACGTGGCCGTGGCCGCTCACGCAGCCCCCCACGTGTCTGAGGGAATCCGCTCCCAGGTAGGCCATCAGCAGCTCCGTGTGGCGGATCAGCAGCTGGGTGAGATCCTCGGCCAGGCTCTCCATGCTGGAGTACCTCACCTTCTCGAAGTCAAAAATGTCCTTGAGGAAGAAAAGCACTTGATCCTAGTGCAGGGGGGGGAAAGGAAAAACTTGTATTCATTTACAAGTAGGAAAAAAAAGGTAAGCAGCGCTAGCAGCTATTTCTGTTACGTGTTTCCTAAAAGCATCCATTTTGGTGCTGAGATAGAAGTGTCTAAAGGAGCCTTTGCACAAAACAGTCCTAGGCTTAAAACATTTCATAAGAAAATATTGATTTTTCATGGTTCCTTAGTGTTAGCCCTAATCTTAGGAAAATGGAAATGTTTATGCCTTTTTTTTTTTTTTAAATTTAGATAAGTGGTAAAGAAAAAAAAACAACACAAGTTGCAAACCTTGAAGAAGCAGCATAAGTCATAAAGGGAATTCCTAGGGCCCAAAAAGCCCCACGCCAAAACAGGGCTGATATGCTCACAGATGGCATAGAAATGTGCAAAAAATCCATCAGGCACCTGGGGATGTAAAAAGTGAAAAGTTACACAGTGGATTTAGTATAATTTTCCATTATTTAACAGTGAGTCTTCATGGAAGCCACACACGAGTCTTCAGGTGGGGAAAGGGGCAGGATTGGATGTGATTTGACTGTGAGATCATGCAGGGAGATGGGCTGAGAATCCTGGCATAGGCAGGTGGGATATAAACTTCATTACCTTGGAACTTAATTATCTACGGAGAAATTACTGCCACCACTGCTGACTGCACCTCAACTAGGTTGAAAAACCCTTTCAGTTCCAGTTTTTGCTTAAAACCAGATATTAGGGCCCCATGAACTAAATTTCCACAGTTGGAAAACTCCTGTCTAGACTTCAAATTCTTCAGAGCCCACCACTAACTTTGTTCCACACCATTCTGAAGGGCAGTTTACCTTCATTTGCTGTCTTTTCTGCTTCAGGACTGACCAACAGCTCGAAGCCACAGCCTAATTGTTAAAAGAAAAAAAAAAAAAAAAAGCAAGCCCAAATCATTTTTCATCTCAAAAGAACTCATGTGCAGAATATTGTACTTGTATATTTTGGGGATATCTCTTTTCTTCACTTCCAATCTTGTGATAACACGAAGTTTAAAACCACAAAACAGCAGCTGATACAAATAACTGAATTTATACCTAGTTCATACTTGTTATTCCAGATCTACCTTTGCAACGCTTTCTTTAGTTCAATTCAAGTGTAATTTGGCATCCTGGACTGATTTTCCAGTTACAACAGTCAGCAGTTCCCTCTCTGGGTTTAACTGAGGAGCAGTCTCTTCTATACCAAGGCACGTGCTCAGACATACATAACTATTTTAGATATTATGTGGAATGTGAACACATTGAAATGTCCTTTTTCACTTGAGCAAAAACATTCCTGCAATAGCTTCAGATTCAGCTAAGGGAGTTTTGCCCAAATATGGGCCTGGGAAATACAATATCCCACTATCAGCACTGGGCTTTTTCCCCTCAGAGCTTGTTCCTGTCCCCATCTGACTCTCCTTCACAGAGTGTTTTTTGCAGGACAAGTTGAAGTGTTTTCTTTGACATGTTTAATCATTCTCTGTGTTTTGGGGTTTTTAAATTGCTACTTTGAAAAACCTGATAACAGCATCTGTTTAATTCTTTTGAGGAGTGTTTCAGGTGCTCACTAAGTTATATACTGGAAGCTAAACTGGCCTTTACACAGTTTTTATCCTGCAGTTTTGGGATTTTTTCTTGTCTTTAGATTGTACTTTAAGGATACAAAGCACAGATCACCAGAACAGCCTCAGCACACACAGGAATTTCTATCAGAACGCTCACACCCCTGTTGATTGATCACACCATCCACACCCTGCAGGTGGATCAGTCTGAAAATGGCACGTGAATACTCACAGTTTCTTTAAAAGAGGAGTTTAACCAGCGGTTATTCACTACATTCTGTATCGATATGGGCGGATTTTCCAAATCTTCAAACGAATCCATTAATATGAAGTCCAGAACAACGTCATAAAAATTCAGGTTTTTCACCTGTGTTGAAGGAGAACACGATCTAAGTAACCCAGTTTGTGTTTCAGCACTGGAACTCAGCGTGCACCATATTCTAGTGCATTAAAGATACCACGTCAGCAGAGGAGAAGTTAAAAAGAAAAATTACTTTCTGATGGATGCCAGTTCTCTAAATCAGCAACACAAACAAAAAAAAAGAGCTGCCTTTCCCACAATTCTGAATTGTAAAATTGTATTTTTAGATTCGCTGGTTTTAGGGCCTATTAAGGGTAAAAGCAACTTTTCAGAAATTCAGACTCACCCCTCGAGCAGCGAGTTCCATTTCAGTGTTATCCCAGTGATCTGTTTGTTCCAAAAAATATATCATTTCATCAAAGACATCTTCGAATTTCTTTGGGTTCTGGAAAGTAAAAGCAATATCAAGCAAACTCCACAAGAGATGTGGTTTATCTGCAGTGGAAAGTGAATTCTGGTAGGAGTTCCATAGACAATAAAACATTAGTGTTTTTTTTTTTTAAAAAAAGGGTTTTTACCTTTCGTGCTTTCACAATCAAAGCAGACAAAATTTTTCTTCCACTTTCAGCAAGGAATATTCTGTTTGCTGTTTCTGAAAGAATGATCTAGAAAAGGGTTCAGAAAATATAGCCATGTTCATGCACAGGTTAGAATAGGTGACCTTAAACATTTCAATATAATTATAATTATTTAGTAGAGTGGGCAAGCTCCTAAAAAAACCTCTTGGTGCAAAGGTTTCCAAAGTTCATCATAGAACTGGGACTCCCCTCGGCAAATACATCTCAGAGCTACAGAAATGCAAAAGCAACATGAAAATATTTAATTACAGAACAAGTTCTCAAAACGCTTGCACAGAGAGCGCACTCAGTGCCAGGGATTTCAGTTTGGTTTAACAGGACAGACAAATCCCCCTGAAAGTTATTTTACCTGAAAATTATTTTACCTGAAAATTATTTTACCTGAAAAGCCTGGCGAATGCAGTGGAGCTTGGCAAGGAAGTCACTGTCCCCCAGACACTCAAACATTTCAGTCCTGCACAAAACAGAACAGTTTGCAAAGACCACCCAGAAAAGGAGCACCAGAAAATTCATCTCAGTCTTAATTCTTAGAAACAACACCTGGTGCGATTAACTCCTAAAAAAATGATTTCTGGAGAGGATGTTTTAATTTAATTCTTGTTTTTCTTGGAAACAGTTAAAAAGACGTCAATCAGTACCTCAGCACCCTGGAGTATATCTTGCCCTCCTCTGCCAGGTGCATGGCCTCTTCATACAGCGGGCAGTGGCACAGGGAGTCCAGCCCCAGGGTGTTCCGAGCCTCTCTGTGCTCTGGCAGCTGCCAAAACATCGATTAAAATTTATTAAAGAGCAAATCAGAGAGTTTTCCTGCTGAAAGATGGGTCCTTTTGTGCCTCTGCTTAAATGACAGGGCAACACTCAACTCATACACCACGCCTGGCAGGACTTGCTTCAGAACTCTTAAAATCTGAAAGCCACAGTTTCAAGTTTCAAACCTTAATTTTCTGTTTAATTCACCCAGGTAAGTCCTAAAATTGTCTGGTTAAATCTACTGGATCTTGAAGCTGTTAAAGGAAAATAAGTGCCAGGTCACAAAGTACAGAGTGATTACATCATGCAAGGCTTTGGGAGGGCAGAAATAGCAACATCCTCCCAGCCCTGGTTTTGTGCGTTGTTCACCTGCTAATCAGTTTTCTCTGGACACTTCAGCTCCAGGGTTGCATCTGCCAGTAAAGAGATGCTGAAATCACTGCTGCAAAGCACCAAACCTCTGCAACTTGCAAAAGTTTTTTAAGCCCGGGATTCCCAGGAATTTTGATTTCCTTTGCTACTCACAAGTTGTTTCTTAATAAATAGAAAAAAAAAAATTCTCAGCTGTGCATCGAGAGATGCCAAAATAACCACCTACAGGAATGCAACCAAAATAAACAGAGGAATTGTGGCTTGCTCCCCCTAATAAAAAGGTCACTGTAACAGTCAGCATTCCTGACATTCCCCTCCATCAAAAAGGCTGATGATGACCTCTTTAAAGGATAAAGACATTCAGAGAAAAGACTGTGTTAAAACACCAGAAGTAGCTGCAGGATGAGAGTGAAACACGCGGTGGAAGCTGGAAGATGGGATGGAAGAGAACACCTGAGATAGAACTTGAATAAAGTGAATTATGGTCCAGCTGAGATCTGCAAGAAAACACTGCCAGGGAGAGCAGGGAAGAGCTGCTGTCAGGAAGATGAGTAAATGTCCACACACACAACTCGCAGCCTGTTGTGACCACAACAAGTGGTGTCACGTTCTGCTTTCCTGCAAAAGGAGAAACTGCTAATCCTGGTAGGGGCAAAAATCACACAGCAGGATAAAAACCACGTATTAATTTCAGATTTCAAAGCTTTGCTAAACGTTTCTATCAGGGCATGGAGTTTAGCAGAGTTATTAATATTGTAACTGCAATCAGGGGTTTATGATGAAAGAACAACGGCCTGTTTGGCCCTTAGCTGAGATAAACCCAAAGCTGAGACAAATCCAAGCTCAGCTCTCTTAGCCTAAATGAAAACACTCCACTGTTTTGCCAGTGCAAGAACAAGAAGGTGAAAAAAGCAGACGAACAAGAAGCTACCTGATATCATCATGTCTAGAATAAAAACCACTGAAGGGACACATCCTGGCTGTTTCTGTTTGGTTGGTTGCTTTGGGTTTGTTTTGTTTTTTAAGCCAAGCAACTCACCTGAGCATCTTCCCGTTCCTGCAAAAACACCGTGAAAGTTCAGGGGAAAAAAAGGAAACAACCAAAATGTACAAACTACTGGGGTTTACAGTTCCTCTCAGAGTTAAAGCAAGCTTGAACTGTGGTCTTGTGCAGATTACAGGAAAGAGTAAGTGGTCTCTGTAGATAATATCTGTGTCAGGAATGAATGCCAGGCACCTCAGCAACGTGAGTGACTAAATCAAGGTAAAAACTGTGCTGTGGAAAACCAAACCCTCTGACAGACAGTCGAGTGATAACTGCAAAGAACCTGCATGCAATTGTCTCTTAGCTGCAGTGACATGAGAGCAACATCTATCACAAAATGTATCTACTGACGCCTTTCCTGTTCTTTGGAGAAAAGTGCTGCTCAAGAGATCCCAAGAGCAGATACCCCTCACTCACAAAGCGAGTCCCTGCCTGGGAGATGCTTCCAACACTTCAAGCAGCAGGTTTTAGCTGCCAGGCAATATCCTGTTACCCAAGATTGTTTCTTTATGTATCCCCTGTGCTCTTATCCAGGAAGATTAGACAGATGAAGTGTGTTACCTTGTTAGGGAAGTTTCCCTGTCCCTGGCACTCCCACTCCCAGCTCCAGAGACTTTCTGAGGTTCCTGCACAGCAGAGGCTCCACTGACCCAGTGGGAGCCCCACTCGACTCCCCACAGAGTCAGACAAGTTTCCCTCACCTTTCCCCTAACAAACCCCTGTTTCCTGTTTAATAATTTCATCTCGGTGCAAGAATAGAGGAAGAGCTGGAGCTGGAGCCTCCACACTGTGCATGGAACACACCGAAACAGGCAGCTGTCAACCTCTAATCATTTCCTCTCAAACAAACAAACAATATACCAAGCCTTCTGCACACATCTTTAAAGGGTGGTGAGGCAGGAGGGGAAGATGAACAGGGAAATGCAGCTCACAGTGAAAGGAACTACTACAGCCTCAACTCACTGCTTCTTCTCTCGTGAAAATCTGGTGTATTTTTTAAAAACAACTTCTGTCTAGGAGCTGGGGAAACACTGTCAGTGCCCCCCCAAAAAAACCCAAAAGCTGCTTACAGCTAAGCCTAGACAGCTTGGGTTTTTTTTTCCCATAAGAAGAACGCATTTTTGCATACAATGACCAGCAAAAAATGAGGATTCTTCTGTTCATTGTTCAAGCAGATGGATGAACCTCTAAAAAAAAGCAATCTTTCAGCCTTACCTCAGCTGTGGAAACAAAGGAGTCTGTCGATGCAATGCTCAGTGTGTCCCGAAGGCAGAAATCATCCCCGTTATCCTTCACTGTCACGTCTGTGTTTTTATCTTTAAAATAATAATAATAATAAAAAAAGTTTATTAGACTCCATTTACACCTTGAAAGCGTGTTCCATGCATACTTGAACACAGTACATAGACAACTGTGAGAGTAAATTCCCTTTATGACCCACTGACATGTGTCAAGGTGACTGCAATTTTCTGCCTTCGAAGTGGACTTTCAAGCATCATCCACAACCAGCTGGGAGAAGGAAAAAAACACTTGCCCAGGTGGGTTTTCCCTTTTCCTTTACAGACTTCTGTAGATCCATCTTATATTACTTTGCTGTGTGGATCTAAGTTTTTAATTGGCTGTGTTATGTAAGAAGTGCTCAGTGTTTCAGTCACCAACAAACACTGTTCTAACTGAAAGTCCATGAATAAAAAAACACCCCCAAGTTTTTGCTTCACTGGAATTGGTTTCATTTTCTGCTTTTCATGCCTGTTTTCACAGAAGAGCAAGTGAAGTTTCTCATCTTCGCTGCATCCTCTTTCCCCAAAAAGCTGTTTTATTGAAATAACACCTCCAGGAGCATTTCCTAGAATTCTTAAAGCCTTTAACATAACTGATATTTTTTTTTTGGCCTAAATTCACCTGCAATACAGTTTCCCTCAGCTCCCCCTTATTTTACTCTCAGATTTCAACTGCTGCACTTATTCCCACATCCAAGGTTTCACTGTCACCACACAGAAGGTCAGTCAGTCAGTCAGTCAGACCTTGGCTTGATGTGCCCCCACACCACATTCCCAGTGGAGCAGATGCAGATTATTTTGGGTTAATTTACCTTCAGACACTACACAGGCGTTGCTGAAAGTCTGTTTTATTCCCAAGAGTCAGCCAGAGCTGTTGCCACGGCAATATTCCACTAAAAACACCATTCCACAGCAAAGTGGCCACCTGCCAATCCACTGGAAGGGTTTGCTCATCACCTGAAGAGCTACAAATGCCCACGACTCAGCTCTTACTTTGGTGGTGGCTGTGGTTTTATTGGTTATGGACCCGGGCTGACAGCTCAAAAACTGCATATAACAATAAATATCCATCTCTGAGAGTATTCACTGAGGGGAAAAAAAATTATTAAAAGTTTGGACAAAGACTTTACTAGATCAAGCTAGGCAAGCTGACCCCACAGCGTCAGGGGTTCTTCTGCAGGTCTGGCATTCAACCTGGGCTAGCTTACATGAAGCTCCAGAGATGATAAAACCTTGAATACATCTTTATTTCTTGAAAAACTCACGATTCCAAGTGTTCTAAAGCGGCCTGAAACTCTCACCCAGCCAGGATGTTTTTAACATGTTGGTCAGCTCAGTAGGGAATATCTGTGTTTTCACTCAAACAAAACCCAACTACTACAGAAAAAGGCACAAAATTCGCATGTTATGCCCCGAAAAAATATAAAAAATTAAAAGAAAGTGGGTAATGCTGAGTGAAATAACACCTTTGGCAAGTGATTTGGACATACCAAGCACGGCAAGAGAACATTCCTGGACACCAGAACAGGAGGGAGGACACACAAAGAGGCTCCTGGAATGAACAGCTGCAGATGAACCCGCCCAGCAGCGCCTGCCACTGCCCCCACGCTCATCCCAATCCTCAGGGATTGGAATTCCTTCAGGGATGGGACACCAGCAAGAATGGGAGCCCCAAATATACCTCACTGATGGGAGAAGCCCAGCAGTTATTTTGGGTTCACTTCTGCTGGTAAAGAGGAGGAAGGAGAGTTTCAGGTGTGACAGTGACAACAGGAACTGCCATCGAGGCTCGTGGTTGTAGTGCCTTAAAATGTGGTTATAAAGTCAGATTAAGGGCATTAAAAAAATGGAAAAATATGGAGGATTGCTAATGCCTGTGAAACTAATCCTAGCTTTATAAGGCTTTGCAAACAACTACCTATTAAACATTAAACAAGATTAAAAAAGTCAAGAATATTTATCTTTGCTCTGGTGGGTTTGCATGGTAAGACAGAGCACAGAGCTAACTCTCTAAACTCTCAGAGCAAATTCCAACCTGAGAGATGGGACTGCACCCAAACTAACTCTGCAGCACCCCAGCAGGAAGCATTCACCTTCTCATCACGTGCTGGAGCTCTGAGGAGTGTTTGTGCGTTATCTTCCTGCCAACCCTGACTGACACACGGCTCCAGCTGCCCAGCCAGCCTGGCACTTACTGAAGCATTTAAAAAGGGAAAGCATTTACTCACAGGCCAAGAACTCCCTGGGATTTTAACCATTAAAGCCAGGGGTTCCTGTTCCACCCATCCTCCACTTCAGTGGAAAGTCACTGCAGTCAACACGTCACCAGCAGGAGAGCGAGAGGAGAAAAGGAGGGACTTTAAAGACTCCCAAGAGGAGAAAACCTTGCAAAAGAATCCACTTGGGAGAAGTCAGGACCCCCCAAGAGCAGCAGGGCCCAGTGCTGTGCCAGCCCCAGGGAAGGAATTACAACCCCCCAGCTCAGACAGCATAGGAGCACCAACCAACACGCTGCAGATCCACCAGAACGTGTCCCAGTCCTCCAGCAGGGCACGAGTGGCACACTGGTGTGTCACCCCTGCTGCTGCTGGAACAGCCCAGAGCAGCTTTATTTACATTTATAAATAGTTAGAGCTGAGAGTGTTGACCGAATGATCATTAAAATATCATTAGTCCAGCCAAGCAGCTGCTTCACATGGAGTCCTACAGGAGGCACTGGAAAGAAGGGAATTTTCTGTCATGTCATATTTATAAGGAGAAAACAAGCCCACCCTTCAGATGGCACCTCCTGATGACAGGTGAAAAAGGGCAAGCCGAGAATAGGGCAGGGCATCCACCCAGACCATTCTGGGTTTAAATTACGTGTTTAAATTCTCCCACGACACAAATATCTGGGATCAAGGATCTGGGATCATCTCACCCACCTGCACATGAACAAAGCTGCATTTCAGAGTGAAAATGCACTGCTTTTAAAATATTTAACCAAATCCTGGGCTCTGCCAGCATGTTCCAGGAGTTAAATGTGTCTCAGGGTTCTTCAAATCACATCCTTAATCAAACCTCAGCAGCTTCCAAGCAGGGAATCATCTCCTGGGTTTGGCTGAAGGCCAAGTGTTACTTCCTTGGCAAAAGGTGACTCAGCAGAGCTTCCAAAATTGTTTCCAAGGTCCACATAAAAGCCTTCCATTTACCATACACTCACACAAATGTAAAGAGGCCCATTTTCCAAGACACTGGATGCTCACCTAATTAGCATTATGCCAACCCTGAGATGCTCTTCATTCACTGCGTGCTTTATTATTTATTATTTATTACTTTGATGCTGTTCTTCAGAACAAAAGTTGATTAAAAGCTGAATTAAAAGCAGGTGTACAGATGACAGCAATACATTCTCCATGAGCACAGAATGCTTCAAGAGTTTAAGAGCGCAGTCCATTCAATTTACACACATGAGCAATAAAACGCACATCAAATTGTCTAATCCATGGACACGAGTACATTCACCTACAGAAGAGTGTTGGGAAATATCAGAGAGGTTTGATATTCTGCAATGGTGATAAATCCAATGTTTCCTTCAAGATTTAAATCTGCTGATGAATTTTCCCATGACTTCGACAACCGAGCCGGAATATTTTCCGATAGTCGCAATTTTTTATTTTTTTTTTTTAAGCCCAGGAATTATCAAAAGGATAAAAATACTTTATTGCAGAGCTGTCCCTGAATCACTGCAGGATGGTTTTATCACCACACCAAGCCCTCAAAATAGAAAGAGCTCTCAGCACCAGGAGCTCTGCACTCCCAGGGCAGAGGGGAGTAAACAAAACGTGCTGCTGGATTGCTGCAATCTGAATTTTGAGAGAATAAAGCACCACCCGACGTGAATTTTAGAACCTAAATTAACACATCAGCTGTGCTGACAGCTGGGAAATCAGCCTGGTAAACACAAACATGTGTTCACCTCTCTGTTCTGCTGTAAACTGGCACAGCTTTTCATTTCTTCCAAAATGTAAACTGATTATTCATAACTTCACATTATAAGGTTCTACACTTACACAGGGTTATAATTTTATACAGCTTTTCTTTACCTCAAAGCTCAAAATCTTCCCTGATTTTAAAGTTTAAATCCTTATTCTTTACAGGAAATCTTCGTTTCTGACCACCCTCGGGGCGATGGAAAAGGCCAAGAATAACCAGCAACTGCTGCTCAGCTCCTGGAACTTGTTACAACCCTAATTTTTTAATTTATTTTTATTTTTAACAAATTAATTTCCTAATTTGCTATACAAAAAAAAGGAAAGAACAAACAGTTTACTGTTCCAGCATAAAGATTATTTTGCTGGGCCCAGCACAAGGCTGTGGGACCATCCAACAGGTTCTTGTTAAGATTTTAAACACAAGAAAAAAAGACTGATACCTTCTATCCCTCTGGACCTTCAGTTTACTAAAATACACCAATTACCAGACAAATTTAAAGAAAAAAAAAAAAAAACAAATTAAAACCAGGGTAAGGTCGCTAAATGCTGATACATTGAAAGATGGCGACTTTAACTACACCTGCTGGAGTAGCTGCTGATGGGGGGCCAAGCTATCTGCAGATGGGCACATTTTAAATAGTCCCAACATATCTGCAAGTGGAACAGGGGCAGCTTTAAATAGAGCAGAGCAGAGAATACAGCCTGGTGTGATGGACATGTGCTCCTGAGCCAGCTCCAACCACAGCACTCCGCTACAATCAGCATTATCAGCTGAGGTGGGGCCCGTGCGCTCACCAGGCATCCCACAGGGAATCAGACAATTTACACCAGCTTGTTAAAAAAAACCCCAGAAGTTAGTCTGAACCATCAAAATTGAAGTAAACCACATGTTTAACTAAAAACCATTTTAGCAAACAACTGCACAAACACACGCACAAAAACTGCATGAGAGAAAAATGACACATCAAGGATAAATTTTGCTCCCCCCGTTGTTACTGTTCACAGAAGCTTTGGCTCTAAACTTTCCACAAAAACAGATTTACTCCCACTTACAGTTTTACCTTTGCAAGAAGAAAATTTTAAGACATTAAAAGGCCTTTAGGAATGAAATGCTTATCCCACCCTCACTCCCTGCCATCTGCCTGCACTGATTTTTCCCTGCCTCTCCAGCATTTACACTCCCAAGGTGTATAAACACACAGAAGACAAGTGCATGTGCAGCCTTTTTAGTTAAGAAAAAGAATTTCTGAGCTGTGACTCGCGAAGAATTTGTCACAGGAACACGAAAAAAAAGAGAAATTAAAAAAGCAACTTCCTGCCTCTGGAAGCCTCTTTCTACTTATCCAATAAACCACTTCTCAAAGTGCAGGCAAGTGCTTATTAAATCAAGGTGAAAATGTGGGGGTTTTTTAACAGGGATTTAAAACCGATGGCCAGAGAGAAAGGCAGAAGAGGGAGGAAGTAATTAAGAGTTTGCCCGGGTAATTGGGGAACCAGGAAGCTGCTGCTGAACTGAGGGGGTGGGAAGGAGACAATTGCAGCTGCTCTGAGGAACAGCAGGAACAGTTGGGACACTTTTTGTGAGGACTGAGCAGGGAAACATTAATTTAACGGAGTCTGGGAAAGAAAACCACGTGGGTGAGGGCTCAGCCAGGAGTTGTGGTGTGGACACAAAGGAGACAGAGGTGCCATTTAAGGAAAAGCCAGGGGGTGTATAAATAGCTGCACACTCGGATCCAGCAGCAGAGCAAATGGCAACAAAGGCGCTCAAGAAGCAGAGACAGGCTTGGTGATGTCAGGGGAAGTGTCGCTGTAAATCCCTGTCCGCACCACGCTCCAGGCTCAGCCACCCTGAGCTCTCCAGTGCTGCTCACTGGACACTAAAACATCACTGGAGCCACTGCTGGAAAGGTCTGAGCTTAAGAAAAAAACACAAAATATCCACTCCAGGTAATCAAGCACTGACACAGAGAGACACACACTCTGAATATTATTATTTTTCAGCACCGTTAACTTGACTGCATGTCCATGCTAAGCTACTTCGCATTTTTAGAATATTGGAGAACATGCCTTTAAAGGAAATTCTTAAATATTATTGCTTAGGGAGGACACACTATCCCATTCAAACATCTGCACTTGGAGTGTGCTCTGTTGCGAGTCAGAAATCGGGAGTTCCACCCAGAAGTCAGAAATCATTTAATGTAAATTTATCTGCAAGGAGCACAAATCAAGCAGGAGTTTTCCAGCTGGCATAAAAAGTTTCCCGACTTTGAAATGGATTTTATAGGATGTGCTAGGAGAGTGAATTATTACAGACTGCTCCTCTCCTCGCTTTATAAACAGAATTATAAATGATAAACAAATATTTCTTGGGCATACTCAAAACATGCTACACTCAAGCTAAAATTTTTCCAGGAACGTTTTTGAGGCAGGAAGGAAAACAGAGTTATTAATCTACGTTAATCCACGGACAGTAAGACATTATAGAAGTCGGGATTAATAAAATATATAAAAATGAGATTTCAACAGGTTCACTGATTTTTGGTGTTTTTTTTTTTTTTAAGAGCAGCAGGAGAAAAGGTTCCTAAAATGTGAATCAGTTCTCCCAAACAGTTTTTTTTTGTCACTGGGTTAAAGGCTGTGCTTAATTCTCTCCCAAATGCCAGACATATCTGGCAGTGTGAGAAGCAAATTAAAAAAAGAACCAGACAAACCTTTCAACAAAACCCTCCCACAACATAGACCTTTGGGAGGGATTTTCCTGCAGCAGCTCCAGCACTTCATTTGTTTTAAGCTGCATAACTGACACACAATAAAAAAATAAATGTATTAAAAATTCAAATATGTGCATTGATTACTTTTAATATTGTCTGAAAATTCCTGGTGGGCTCCCCACGCTGATTCCCAGCACAAAACTCACCACTGTTTAGCCTTACCTACTTTTTTAATTTTCATGTCCAGAAGTATTTTTTTTCTATAGAAATCCTCTTTTATCCTGCTGGTTTATACGATAACTCAGCTATCTAAAATGCAAGTTTTTTCCAGGGCCTGTATTAATCATTTATAACTCAACCACAGCTTGCAGAGTTGGAAATTATTATGTGCATTTTTTTTTTAAGTTATTGTGTTAATAGAATTCTACCCCAGGGAGAAAATTTATTTGTTTATACCTGTATCTTCTGCACTGCTAAAAGCTGAATAATTAAAAATATCTGAGTATTCTTTAATTATCAGAACTGTCAGGGCAAGTAAGAGAAGAAAAGGAGGAGGAGCAGCACCTGTGACCAGCAGGGGACAGACAGAGGGTTCAGGAGTTTCAGAAGTTGGACAAAAAACTTCACAGAAAAAGCAGAAAGTGAGAACTTGATAAATTTTTTTTACCTTTTCCAGTCTCCTCCCTGAGCAAATTTGGAGTTCATTATAACCCAAAGGTTATAATGCCCTAAACTGTAAGTTTTTATCAACTTCCAGCTCTACAAATGACTTTACAGTCAACAACACAGTTGTTAAAATTACAGCATTTGATTAAGTATCTGCCATAAAAAGTAAACCTTTCCCTTAAAGCAGACAGGAGTGTAAATAAGTGCTCATGTCAGTGAGATTTTTTTAAGATATTTGGAACTAAATTGGGATTTCCCAATCATTTGGAACATTGTCACTTTCTAAGATTACTGAATAATTAGTGAGAGATGAAGGTGCTTGCTTTCTCTGCCTTCTTTGAGAAGTTTTAGGTGTAAATCTCGCAGGATTTACATCAGCTGCCTCTTTTGCCACGAATTATATTCCTTCCTACAGAGCACAGGACCCTTCATTCATAATAAAGTAACAACACCCACTCCAGAAATCACAAATTATTCCTAGGAGAGATAAAATTCTCAGAATATTCTTGGCAAACAAGAATCCAGTTATCCCACCTAAAAAAAAATAAACCAAGAATTCAAAATGCTTGCAGAGTAGCCAAGCAAAACAATAACTAAACACATCACGTTAAGTTCCCTTTGAATGCCATTTTATTGATTTTTTTTTTTTTTTGAGGACAGGAATTCTAAAACGACACATTCGAGTGGGTTTCTGCTTTAAGGATTAATTGCACAGGTGTCTGTAAGTGTGTCAGAAAGGCAGCTGTGACCCAAATTTAACTCCCACCTTACTCAGAGCGTGCAGGATAGGAGAGGGCAGTGCTGCCACCTCGTGCCAGCCCTGCTGAAACCCAACAACCAGCCCTGCACCCTTAAAAATCTGGCAGCTCTTCGAGCCCAGAGGTTTCATTTTTAATGATGGGAGAGCACAAGGGGTAACAGTCTTGAACAGCTACCCAAACTAATCCCTTAAATAAAAATAAATATCAGCGCTTAATCAGCATGGCTGGCAGCAGCTCCTCATTTTGTTTGCCATTCCAACAGTTTAGTCACTCACAACTCTGATTAATTCCAACCACCAGGTATAAGGGCTCTGATAATGATTATTAAGCTCAGATTAAGCCTTTTTGGTACAAAAAATGGTGACAAACCACACACAGTTTGACAGTTGAAAAGATGCATAAGACTTCTAAAACACTCTTATACCCCCATGCTACAAAAAGGGTCTAAATAATAATGGATAAATAATCTTACTGGATAAATATTTAAATACTTTGCTTTCAATCCATTGTTATCTAAAATACAACCACTTCATCAAACACTACATAATAATGGCAAGAACGTGAATTTTTTTTTTTCCTGTTGACTTACAGATAAATATAATTCTGCCCAATGGATATTTTCAGTTCCACCTCCCCCACCAGGATCCACCAGCAGAAGCGAAAAGGCTGTAAATCAGCAGCACTCACCGATATCATTTGCTAGAGCAGCAGGATCAGAGACCCCCAGGGTGGCCTCGAACTCCTCCTGAAGGCGGTAAGCTCTCTGGAGGAGAGATTCCAGCTTGTGAATGAATTCAGCACTGATGATATCCTGCAGGGAGGCAGATATTAGGAGATTTCCTCCCCATTTACAGTCTGCAAGGCTGCTTTGGGAAAAATCTAAGCATGTTAAGCCCTCTAAGAGCAAAGGGGTGGGCACATTAATCCCCTACAAACAGCATGGGAACAGTCAGGTGAATATTTCAACTCCACACCTTTCTGAGCACACGTTTATTTTATTTAGTGCGATAAAAATCAAATCTGAATATTAAAATACTTTTAAGTCACCTGTGATGTTTACTGCACTAGAAAAAAAAAGCCACAGGTGCCTGTTTGTTCACTTCAAAATATTTGTAGCATTTTGTTCTCCTCCACTCCTATGAAATAAGTTCAGGCATGTTATTTGTGAATATGCACAAATTAATCACCTTTTCTGAGACCTAGCTTTGCTAAGCAAATAATCACAGAAGAAAGAGATGAGCCAAGAGATTATGTGCAGAGAAGTACTTGATAACTCGATAATAATCCACAAGCAGACGCTGATGCATCAGTGGCAACTGCCAAAGAATAAATAATGCTAATTCCCTTCCTGTGCCCTCCTCCAAATAACCAACCAAAAAGAAATCCAAAGGAATGAAGTCAGATGTGCTTTAAGTGCAGCACCAGTAAACTGGGAATCCAATTAATTCTCAAGTTTGCTAACGGAATTTTGATTTTAAAAGATTCAGGTAACAAAACACGAGGCAACAAAACACTGTAGGGGCAGCACCAGGGTGCAGATGGAACATACTCACTTCCACACTTTCCTCTGCAATGGCATCTCCTGCTCCCAGCTTGATGGAGCCGCAGATGGCCTCATCCTCAGCCTGCCTGCTGCGGAAGGTGAGCGCCTGCTCCCAGCGCCGCAGGGCCTCCTCAAACAGCTCCATGCCTGGGGGAGAGCAGCACCAACCAAGCCCACATCAACCAACCCCACATCACAGGGCATCTCGCTGTTTCATACAAACGTCCTCAGACACGTGCCAACAGCACACTGAGACAGAACACCACAGGAATAGTGTGTCTCGCTTCACCACAAACCCAAGAAGTTATTTACGTCCACTGCTGAAGATTCTTATCCTGACTTACCCATCAAATACAAGTTTTCAGGTGTAGTCACCGGAATATTGACAAGCTTGATGTCATCTTCATCTGCTTTGTCCCAGGAATTGGAATTGGCACAAGCGCAGCTGTGACAAGAGGTGGCACTCTGAACCTTAAAAAAAATAAAAAAATCAAACACAGATTGTGAAGCGCTGTCACAGAGAGGATCCCTAGAGCCACATCACACCCCAGCCACCTGCCTGGAAGATGGTTTGACTGGGGGAAGGACAACTGGCACCTCAGCATCTCCAGCCACCCGTGCAGCTTGCTCAGGGAAGTTCCCTGGCTCAGGGAAGTTTGGATGCACGCTCAGTGCAAGTCAACAGGCACTCAGGAGCCCTGAAACACTTTCACTCACCGAGGTCAGGCTCTGGACCGAACCAGAGTACTTGCTGAAAAGTCCCCCATTTGCATAGATACAAGACTGAGATCCCTTTTCCTTGGCAGAGCTCAGAGAAAGGGTCAGGTTTTGTCGACTGCTGGAACAGCTGGAACCTAAGAGAGACACTCATTTGATTGCAAGCTCCCACAAACTCAAAACTTCACATCCTTTGCAATCCTAACGAGAATCAAATTGAATTTACTCTTCTCAATAAAGTCCAGTTTAGAAGCAAGCAACTACTCTTTTATTTACAGTTCTGTGTGAGAAATTACACATCAGAACAGTCACCATCCACAACAATAACTGCGTATTGGAGCACAATTATTTCCCTATTCTATATAAAATTAATCTGCATTTCTCAGTGTTAAGCTGCATCCATTCCTGAGGTCTTTCAGAAAGCACTTTGAGGGGTCTGTCAGCAGAGCCTCAGACACCAGGGCTGGATGACCTTTAAAGGTCCCTTCCAACCCAAACTATTCTATGATTAAAGGAAAATAAATGATTGATCACTGTGCACACACCCACCCCCTCACAGCCCTTTTCTTCCTCTCCAAGAGACCAACACCAACAACAAAAAATCCAACTTGGGGGTTTCCAAAATGTACCTTTCTCTGAATCAGCTGCTTTGGTGCACTCCAACACCAGGTGATTTGGTTCCCATGGTGGCACTTTCTTGTTCTTCTTTCCACGTCTCCTCTTGAAGTGATGGGCCAGAAAAATCACTGATATTGCACTCACTGCTGTGACTGTGAAAAGCTTCTTCAGCCCAGGGGAGAGCTTTACCTGAAAACAGGTGTGACTTTGGTGAGAATATCCACCCTGAGAGACAGTTTGCAGCACCAAGAACTATAAGGTACACTGCCAAGCAAATAACTTTCTAATAACCCTTTTTTGTTTGTCTGCTTGTTTTTAATTTCTTCTTAACGCCAGGACGATGCAGGGCTTCAATTAATTCTCTAACAGCAAAAGAATGCTGGGAAGGAACTCACCCCTCCTAACTACACAATTTCCTGCCCTGTGAAAGATCCTAAGGCCAACATTTGTGTGGTGTTTCAACTCGGGGAAAAAAGATGCATTTAAGTATATTTCTCTAAATAAACAGTTAAAAACAGGTTTTGAAAGCAGAACTAATATCTACTAAAAACACTATTTGTATTTCTAATTATAAACTTTTGTGTAGTTATTCCTGTCAATCATTCAGCATACACAGAAGGGGAAAAAAATCCCCAGGGCCATATTTTGCACACCCAATCAGAAACTCTTTTTTTCATCCTGTGTATTACAGACTCCAGGGCCACCTGTAAACAGCAGCAGTGTGATGAATGGAGCTTTGAGATTTCCTTTGAAGAAAATCTCTCCAGAAGTCAAATGGAACAAAGAAAACCAGCATAAAGGAGTGAAGGTGTTTAAAAACCAGCCTGCTTTTAAAGAATCTTGTTTTAGTCACTGTGGCCCTTACTTCACCAAATAAAAGTGACTCAAAAACTAGAATAAGGGGTTTTGTTTTACATTAATGAACTAGCATTCAGATTAATCTGGCAAGCAGCACCGGCAACCTAGAAAGGATTTCACGCCACACTGGATATTATTATTCAAAATTTAGTGAGTTAGGTTTAATTTTTGAACACCCCAAAATTCAACAGGAAAAACAAAACTCAAGGATTTTGATATTTGGTGAGAATCACTGCACTGTTACAAAATGGAGCCACACAGACACTGCAGGTAAAGCAGATGGGTGAGGAGGTACCAAGCATTTATTAGCAGAAAAAGACAAAAAAGCCCTGCTTATGTTAGTTCAGTGTTTTGAACAAACTGAGCCCCAGGGCATTCTGCACAAACTTAATTCACATCAAGCTCACAAGGGCAAGTACAACACTGCAATAAACGTCTAAATGTATATCAAAAGCAACGGTATTTAGCTAATATATTTATTACCTGGTTAAGAGAATAATACCAAGAAAGGGGGAGATGAAACACCCTCAAAGCTGCCGTCTTCAGAGAAAATCGTGTCTCAGCAACACCTTCTTCTGACATGGCTCCTTCTCTCCCATAACCTCATCAAGTGAAACTCTCTCGAAAAAACAATCACAGACGGTCTCCGGAAGGCTCTGTCAAACCAAGGATACACACCAAGTTATGCAATTAGAAAGCCCCCGGACAGTTTTCCTTCTGCCAGCTCGAATCTCTTACATAACAGGTCCACGACTTGTTTGATTGATGCTCTTGAGTGTGGGCAAGACCGAGCGAGGAGACAGCAAAATAAACCTGCCGGTTCAGCTCAGGGCCCGTTCTGGGCGGACCTGCAGATGTGCCCGAGCTCCACAGAGGGCTTGGCTCACTTACCACATCCTCCAAATCACGCACGGCAACAACCCCGCTCCTCAGATCGCTGCTGTCGGAAGGCCGTGTTTGCCAGCTGGAAGAATTACCAGCCCTGAGAGCAGGCAGGGAAAGTTCACGCCGCCCAGAGCTGCCGTTCCTCGGCGGGCACACCGTGAGGGACGAGCCCACAGCCTGACGCAATGACCGCCCAGGGCGCCCCCCTCGCTCCCGCAGCTCCGGCACAACGCGGAGCCCTCAACCCGCGACCCCGGGGCCGCCACCGCGGCAAGGCGGGAGGGAGGCGATGGAGGCACAGCCCAGCCCAGCCCCACCGAACCCTCCCCAGAGCGGGTGGGCAGCGGAGGGCACAGCCGGTGAACCCCCCGCGCCCCTCAGCGCCTCTCCGCGGGGCCGCCCTTGGGTTACCTGCCCAGCGCCGCACCCACGAGCAGCTCCCTCCGCTCTTGCTCCCACTGCCGCCCCGGCGCTGCCCGGGGACCGCCGGGATCCGCTTCCGGCACGGCAAGCAGCGCCCGGGAGGGCGGGCGGAGAAAGAGACAGCGCCGCGCCCTCAGGAGCCCGCGGCCGCCATCTTAACGCCGGGCAGGCTCCCGCCGCGCTGCGGGGCGGGGCCTGGCGCCGCCATCTTTGTGCGGGGCAGCGCTCACGCAGGGCCGGCCGAGGCGCTCGGCGGCGCCATCTTTGATTGGGGCGCGACCTCCCCACCCCGCCCTCCCGCGCCGCGACAGCCGCGCCCGCCTCTGTGTGCGGGTGTGTGTGTGCGGGGCGGCCCGGGAGTGCCCTGCCCTGCCCTGCTCTGCCTGCACTGCATTGCATTGCCTGCATTGCCCTATCCTGGCCTGCCTGCATTGCCCTGCCCCGTCCTGCATTGCCCTGCCCTGCCCCGCCACGGTGCCGCACCGCCCCCGCACCGCCCCCGCACCGGCGCGGCCCCGCAGGCAGGGCTGAGCCCTCAGGGCCCGGCTGCGCTGCGGGCACGGCGCGTCCTCCCGGCGGAGCTGCGGTAAGAGGGGAAGGGCCGCGCTGGGGCGGCGGGCGGTGGCCGGGCCTTGGTGGGGCGGGGGGGGGATGTGCGGGGCAGGACCGGCCGTGAGGCGGCCCCGCAGCCCGCGGGTCCCGGCGGGGGCTGCCGCGGTGCCGGGGGTACCGGCGATCCCTGAAAACAGCGATTTACCCCTAAATTGCTCCGCTCTCCCCCCCCACCCCGCGTTATCCGTTCGCACGGGTGGGCGCGTTTATGAGGGGTAGTGGCGGGGGGAGAAGAGTGCGGGGGTATCACCCAGTGGAAAATCACCGTGGGTTTCGTCTGCAGAGCTCAGGGCTGAGCCCAGGTCGGGAAAATCCTCTTAGCAATATAGAGGTCAGCTCATGGGTTTCTCTGTTGGGGTTTGGAGCGGTGGAAGAAGGAAATGAAGGAAGGGCCGGTGTGCCCCGGAAAGGCAATATAAAATAAAAAATGTCTGGCTCTGTGGAAGGGACATCCCCCTCGATTCAAGCCTTTTTTTTTTTTTTTTTTTTTAAATGGCCTTTCTCTTTGGCGACAGTACTTCATGGCAGGGATAAAAAGGAAAAACAGCTAATGGAAGTGACTTAAAGAAATTGTGTCTTGCTTGAGTGGGTACCTCTTGGTGCATGAGGAGGAGGAGGATCAGGTAATCTCTCACCAGCTTGCTGAAGATGCTTTTGTTATTTACTGGGAAAAGTACCAGGTTTTGTGCTGAACAGATAAAGTAAGTTCTCAATCAGAGTTGGGATTGGCCTTGTCATTTTTATGATTTTTTTTTTTTTTAAACTCTTGTTTAGAGTTGACAGGTTAAAAAAAGGTAGAAATAGGGAGGGATGGGAGATGAAATTCAAACCCTACCTATTGATCAACAGAATATAAAGGAATTTAAGACAAGAAATTGGGAAGATTAACCTTAATTTCACACGCTAAGAAGACTAGATTCAAGTTTGGTAACAGTATTATTTATGTATATTGCTGTGATGATTTCTCTAAAGTTTATAAAGAACACAGTTCTTTAGAAAACTATTAGAAAACTACTAGAAAATTATATGTCTTACAAAGCTGAATATGTCTGGGGCTGTAGCTTCAATGGGCTTATATAGTTTGGAGTGAATGCTGGTGAGTTTTTTCCTGAAGTGTGAAGAATATCAGTGTGGTAAATAATTACTAGAGTTCCAGAGTCCTTTAGTGTTCTAAGTAATTAACTGTTCGGTACAAAATTGCACCGTGTGTCACTCTGGCTTTGCTGCCATTAAAAAAAAATGTGTTAAATGAAACTGTTCCAGTGCATCATTAGTAAAATAACTGAGTGCAATGAAGGAGCCTGAACTTAAAGCTTACTGTTTGATGTGCTGTTATTCAGAGCTGGACAGGCAAAATAATAAAAGCCTCTAATGAAGACACAACTGCTCCTTCATGCAATTGATGTCTTCAGAATAATCCTTTTGTTGTTAAAATCTTCTCTCATCATTCCCTTGCTGAACTCTGTCAAATGATCTGATAAAATGGCTCCATGTTTAGGGCAGCAGTGGAGTATTGATATATTGATATATTTATTTACTGTGACATCTGCTGAAGTGTTCACTGCTGTAACTGGGCAGGTGAAAACATTAATTCGAGACTTTTTGAAGGAATTCCAAATCTGTTTTGTTCCTTTAGGAGACACTGGGCTCCCTGCATGAAGCTAAGATAATTTTCCAGATCAGTTGAGTTCCCCTGGTGTTTGATGGGGTTTTTCTGTGGGTGTCTGTGCATCACAGAAGTCTGTGATGCCGTGGAATTCTGCTGGATGATAAATAAGGTTGCTGGTCATGATGCTTTGAACGATGGTTCTCGTTTCTCTGATGGCTCGGAGGGGGGGGGGAATTTTTTTTGGTCAACGAAAAGACTTAACAGGGACACCAAAAAACCAAGACTGGACTTCAAGACTGCAGAGTTCTGTCCTGGACACGTGGGGAGCGTTTGATGAGATGCTTACTGCATGGACATGGTTGTGAATGGTTGGAGTGGAAACAGGATGGGAGAGCTGGGGCTGTTCCCTGGAGAAGAGAAGGCTCAGGATATCACTGGAGCCATGGAGATAAACTCCAGCTTTGGAACAGGGGGATAAAATCCAGTGCAGCAGGAACTTCCAAAGCAGGGTTTGATTTGGTTTTTAGTTACTGAAAATGCAGAGAAACGACTTCTGAGTTGAGGTCAAGGCAGTGCAGAAGCTGGTGGAGAAGTTGATGCGCTAATGAGCTGCAGCAGAGAGGAAGATAAGCAATCCCTTCAGATGGAGTAGGAAGTGGTGAGATGGAGGAAGGGCAGGGATCGAGGGAGGGGCTACCCTGGGACTGCCAGGACCGAGGTGAAGGATGAGTCACGGGTTTGAAATGAATTTTACAGTTTTAGACTTGCACATGAAATTACACCAACTGTGGTTCTGCAGTTGGGTGTGTTTAGCTACCAGTGTGATGGCAGTGCAGTGAGTTATCAGTGCTGTGAGATGGAAGGAGCTGTGCAAGAATTTTGTCAGCAAAAGGTGAAAGAAAGGCCATTCAGCTTTGTGCAGATAATGCCAGGTGAAGAATCTGTGTCATTCACTGGACTTCCACGAGGGATGCTCTCCGTACGGGCAGGAATAGGGGCCACATCCACAAGGACATGAGCTGGAAGGTGGTTTGGTCTTTCTGATGGTTGTTAAAAGAGGAGAGGTTCAGCCAAGGAGCAGAAAGTGGCATGGGCAGAGCTCCTTCCCAATGAAGATACACACTCACACATGAGATTATACACACGTTAAATATATAATAATATTGTAATACTTATGTTTAAGTAATTGTTTATATGTAAAGAAAATACGTTTAAGTGTATATATGAAGGTATATACCTATTTTTTTCCTATGCAAATAATATATAATGCTTTAATAATATTTGTAAAACAGTATCTCTAGGACTGACACACTGAGTGCTCAGTGTGAGTGACAAGTGTCAGTTTGCTTTTGATATATAATATGTCTGAATCCAGGATGCCTTTGTAAATAAATAAAACCAAGCTAAAGTTTCCTTTATCCTGTGATAAGCCAGCCCTGTGCTCCTGCAGTTGAGCCCTCACAGCTTCAGCACACTTGGCCTGAAAAGTGCAATTTTTATGTCATTGGGGTGCCATGGCAGAGTCCAGGAAGTTAAATAATTAATCCCAATCAGCTCTGCTCCTTTCAGGATCTTGTTACTTTATGCCCTACAAGTCAGCAGGGTTTAGTTTGGGTTAATAGAATCATCTAATTTACTCCAAACAGGCACATTCTTTTAAAAGTTATATATTAGATATCCAATATTGCTCCCTGGTGTGAGGAGTTGGTTTTTACTCATTCTTGCTCCTGCTGGCAGGTGATTCCCTGGTGCTGAAGATTCCAGCCCTGGGATCTCAGGAAACACAACCATGTCATCAGCTGGCAGTGACTGCCCGCACTTGGAGTCGGTTGGGGAGATAACAAAAGAGGAGCTGATCCAGAAATCCCACGTGAGTTGTGGCCATCTCCTCTCTTCCTGTGCTGTTAACTGGTTCAGTTACTTCAGGGACATATTTTAGTGTGGGTTTAGTTGTAAGATGCATTTAAATGTTAAAAATAAGTAAAAATCTTCCCTGCTGGAACAGTCAGGTTTCACCAAAATGTGGGAAGAATAACAGACCTGAGGAAGCTGAAAAACCATTTTCCAGAGCAAGTGATGTTTTAGTGGGACATCATTTCCCAGAGTTAGCACAGCACCAAGCTGGCCTGGATTTTCACTGCCACTGCAGCACTTGGTTGGTTGGGACGTTAATGGAACATTGTACAACTGATTGACTTTGAGTAGAAACTGCGACAAAGGAATTTCTGCTGGAATTTCCTTGGATAACAGTTCTGGTTTTGATAGAGGAGACAGGGTCTGAGAAACTGCCCCTACCTGAACTCCTGGGTTCAAGCAAGTGTTAATAAATGGAACAAAAACAGGTCTTGGAACCCCGTTTTAGGAGCTGGGAGGTGATGAAAAGTCAAACCTTTTCTGTCCATGGTGCTAAATTTGTTTATCTGACAAACAGCAGTGAATTTGCTGCTGAGGAGGACAGCACTTTTCTAACGTTGCATCTTTTTTGTGTAAACCTTTGCAGGTAGTGTCTGCAACAACTAGAAATGTGCAGATCTTCCCTGGCGTTCTATCACTGTCATCTCTTGTTATGTTACATTTATAGGAAAGGGAAAATTTGAGGATTATTATTATTATTATTATTATTATTATTATTATTATAATGTCACGCAATATATGTTTATGCCTTATTTATAAGAACAGCTTTTTTGCTTTAAGATGAAAACTCTTTTATAGTTTTGTCTTGATGGTGTGGTTTGCTGGTGTAGGGAAATGAAATAATACTTTGCTTTTGTGTTTAACTTCAACAGGGCACTTGCCAGGACTGTAAAGTCAGAGGACCCAACCTTTGGGCATGCTTAGAGGTGGGTTGGTTTTAAGAAACATCTATAATGAAATCGGTTTATTTAAGTTATTATTTAAAAGCAAAACTCCTTCTGCAGTTCTTTTGTTTTTAAAGTTATTTACCCTCTGTCGGGTACTTCTTGTAATTTAAGAATAATGTGCTTAAAATGAGATTTTTTTAAATAAGTAATTCTTGAGTTATGATATTTTGCTTCTAAGTTTTGGAGGTTTCTTAAATTTTTGCCCTGGGTGTGTAGATTTAAAAAATAATATTCCTGAGTTAATTAAGTTACTTTCATAAGCCTCTCTTAGCATCTGCAGTAATAACATTTAGCAGTAAATGCTGACTTTTTACAGAATAATACCTACTCTGACTTTTTTATTCTTAAGCAGAACAAAGATAAATTATTTTCAAACTTGTAGAAGGTTGTATAAACGTTCTGCATACTTTGCACAAATTTTGTGCAGTCTTTACCCTGGATACAGTTCTGTCTTAACTGTCCTTTTGCCTTGCTCTTCTACCAAAAAATGTCATTTTCACTGGATTTAAAAAAAAAAACCCAAAAGAAACCCAAAAACCAAAGAAAGAACTCTGAAAATATTGCTACTGATTGATGTGTGATACCAACTGGTAAGCACATGGTTAATTTAGATTTTGAAATGTCTTGAGTTCTTGGGACTTACAGCTCTTTCCAGAGATGGAAATTTTGTCCTGGAGCCTTGACTTCATTTCTTGGCAACTTTAGTGCTGTCAGGAAGGACTCCAGGCTGAGATGCCAACCTTTAGGTGTATATATGAATATTTTGTTAAAAATCCACTTCCTTAGTGTCCTTTGAAGAGGATTATGGTAAAGACGTCAGATTATTTTGCTCCTTCTGTCCATGTTGAAGATGAAGGCAGAAAGAAACAGAGTTAATATCTTTTGTTAGGTGGCTTGGAGTTTAATTCCCTATAAAACCCCTCCTGGGAGCAGGAGGAGGTGTGCAAGGGGTGCATCAGCCCGGCAGGTGGGGAAATGCTGTCAAACATAAACCACATTTGTCATTTCTGATGTCGAGCTCTGAGACCGTCATTGAAAAAAAACTCCCATTTCCTGCCAACGTTTCTGTAGGACAGGCTTGTATTGCAGCAGGACACTTACTGCTGTCACACTGCTCCCCTGGGACGAATTGGCACCCTGTCTCCACCTTTTGCACTAGACAATCCTGGTGAGATGCCAGCATGTCAACTGTCTGTGACTTAACGAACCCCTGGGAGTGTTTACCGCAGTAAATCCACCCCGGTCAGCCGCTCTGTGTAAATTAACCTGCTTGGGGACTGGCACAGATATAACCTGCCCTGCCCTCCTGGGGGGTTGTCTTGACTCGTGCACACGAGGAACTCGTGAAAGCTGCTTGGAGGTTGGATTGGCAGCTGCGAGATTCCAGGCTCGACTCAGCCAAACGTGCTGTGCAGTGAGCGTGGTTAACATCAGCAGTTATCCTGCATGTTGTAATTAGAATGCAGTTCCTGAGCTCTGTGGTGCTGGAAACTCGCATTTAAAGGTGAAGAAACTAACTTGTGGTGAAGCAATACTCTGAGAAATGGGGATAAACAGGCACTGCAGGTGGGGGCATACAGGGATTTTTGGATAAATGTGCCATGTTTGAGGCTGTTGCCATTCAGTGTTTTACTATTTAGATCTTGCATTAACTTTGCATTTTCTGTAACCATCTTTACCGAATGGTGACTTGTAAAAAGTACACGTTGACAGTAAAATGAATAAATATATAAAAATGGCCACAAAATACGTTCCAAACACATTATTTGTCTAACACTGCCCATCAGTGCGAGAAGCTGAGTTAAATCTTGCAGCATTCTTTTTTTTTGCTTTAGGTGATACTGTGCTTTCTGTAATGCTTACTGTGCATGTCTCTTGGTTAATGCAGGACTGCAGCTTTGACGTTTGAGTGAATTTTAAAGGGACTGGCAGTATGTTCCTGTTCTGCAAGCCTCTTTGCCACCCCTTTTTAATTTTAATTCTGTGTCCTTGTCCTTCTCTTGCTCAACAGAACAGGTGCACCTACGTTGGCTGTGGAGAATCCCACGTGGATCACAGCACCACCCACTCCCAGGTAGGTGCATTTACCAGTAACACAGGGAAGTAAAATCAGAGAACTCTGACTTCACTGAAATCACGTATCTAGAATTTTAACAGTCAGTTGTAGCTTGCATTTAATTATTCTGAGTTTCCAAGTCACAGTTTTGGTTTGTGGTCTGTTCTAGGAGACAAAACACTGTCTGACTGTCAACCTCACCACCCTGCGGGTCTGGTGCTATGCCTGCAGTAAGGAAGTGTTCCTGGATAGGAAGCTGGGATCTCACTCTCCACTGCCTGGTGCAAGATTGTCCCACCAAGCTCAAGAAAATAGTGTGCAGGTACTGTTTAACCCAGCTGTGGCTTTGCAGTAAATATTGTGTTTTCTCCCAAGAGAGAGACTGGCTTTTCCTCCATTCTCATGACATTTTTATGAAAATGCAGAGGAATTAATAGGATTTTTTAAAAAGATATTGCCCAGCTTCTGTGTCCTGCCTCTGGGTACTGCTTGCTTCCTGACAATGCTTTTTCATCTTCCTGTCTAATTTGTGGTCTACAATCAGCTGTAAGGCACAGAAAGGCACAGGGTTAAGTTAAGGTTACAAAACTGCAGTAGTTCACCTGTGCTCCCCTGTTCTGCCAGCTCTTGAAAATGTTCCAAAAGTGGGTGAAATATTGGTGCAGAATGTTAAAATTATTGTGTTGGGTTCACGTGGGAAAACACAGAGCAGACTAGAGGTGGAGAGGATGTGTCAGTGCTCTGGGGCAGTTGGGATTGCCAAGGAAAAACGCGGGCAGGATCTGGGGAGTTCATGTTAGTTAATCAAACACAGTATTAGGTGGGATTGCAGACAGGTTGGGGGGGAAATGAGCAAAGCAGATGTGATACAGAGAATTTTAAAATACACAGTTTGGGTTTTGTGACCTGCAGTTTCCATCAGGTTTGTTTAGATTTGGGGGGTTGGTTGGGTTTTGGTTATTTTCTTGTGGTTAGGTTTGTCTTCAGTGGCCTCAGGACTGTTCACTCTGATCATAGATTTTCTAGGTAAGTGTTGTCTTGGAGAAAGTTAGGCAAGTATGTGAAAAAAAAAGTGGTATTTCTTTATTGCATATTTAATGTGTCACATACCAATGACAGGTAAATTGGTTACAATGGTCACAAGGAGAAGGGCAGTCTTTCTAAATGTGGTTTGTTTGAAAAGGGACCAGGATGCCCAGGTCGGACAGAAAGATGGGCAGCTTTTCAATGCATGTAAAGAGGAAAACCCTTTAACATTTTCACTTCAAAGTTTATCATTTAATATGAACATAATCTGATCATTTTCTCATAAAATTCCAGCAGCTCAACTGGAATAGTGCCACTGGAATTTTTTTAAATTTCTATTGTCTGGAAATTCTGGTCACTTGGAATGAAGCTGAGTTCAGGCTTCTGAACTTGTGTTCTATTTACCTGCTTTAATCTTCCAAGGAAGGTTATATATATATATATAATATATTTATAATATATATATATATATACAGAAAAATAAGTAGAACTGAAAACAAAAACCTGGGGGCTCTCTTAGTAAACTTTCTCAGGGTACCTGTGGAGTCCTGGTGCTGTCCCCTCATGTGCAGTGAGATTTCAAAATGAATTCACATAAGTTCTGCATTTGTCGGTAAAATTATACAGGAGCTTAATCAAGAGGAAAAGTGATAAATACAAGCAAAAATAATTTTTTTTCTTTTTCTCCCTGCAAGGATTTTAAAATACCTAGTAATCCCACACTGAAGATTCCACTGGCAGCTGTGTTTGATGACTTGGATATAGAAGTGGAAGAAGATGAATTGAAGACTAGAGGTAATCAAAGCAAAATGCAGTAATTATTGTTTCTTAGAAGTCTCAAATCCTTAGTGATCGCTCAGTTCGTTTCCCATCAGTGATGACAAAATAACTTATTCTAATTTATTCATGGGTTTGGTTTGGCTGGTTCTGGCTGGGCCGGAGTTAATTTTGTGGTGGAGTTAAATTTGTTGGTGGCTGCTGTGTTTTGGATTTGTGCAGGACGCAGTGTCGATGATACAGAGATGTGTCCGTTGTTGACGAGCAGGGCTTGCTCCTCACTCAGCCCCCCCAGTGAGTGGACTGGGGGTGCACGAGGAGCTGGGACAGGGATGTTCCAACCCATATCCTGAGGGAAGAAGGAGGGAAGGGGGGGATTTTAAGGGTTAGGGTGCTTGTCTTCCCAAGTGAGCAGTGCTGGTGATGGAGCCCTGTGTGAATTGTCATCTTCCAGCTCTCCCCCTGCCATCAACCTCCCCTCCCCTCCCTGCTGGCCCTGCTCAGACAGCCTGCCCTGTCCCTTCTGTTGTCTGGCACAGTCATCCTGGATGTGTCATCACCCCCTAATTCACCATCTGCCCTTCCATCATGCAGCCATGTGTTTGATGCCTGGCTGGTTTCTCCAGCCCATGGCTGGATTTGCAGAGCTCTGCATCTCGTCCTGGTGATATTTTGGGGGATGTAACCTTGTAGGAATAATAACCAAGGATATACAATTGCACTGAAGGTCCCAATTTGCATTGATGTGTCTACATTAAGACATTTATCAAACCGAAAGGACGAAACTTCTTTAGCTTTTGATTTTGTTTTAACTCTGTTCTTCAAATTTCTTCTGAAATGCTTTCGGTGAAGCAAAGGGGTCTATTTGAAAGCTTCCCTTGCAATGTTACAGGCTGGGAAAACACAGTGAAAATACCTTCCTGATACATCTGCTGCTGTTAAAAAAAAAAAATGAAAAAAGGAATTTTCAAGAAGTTAAAATCCTATGGCTGTTCTTGTTTTGCAGTTTTAGTCAGAATGATTGTTCTCTCTGTAGCAGGAATTGGAAGGGCAGAATGCAGGTTCAGGTACAGGAAGCAGGACTGTATTTCCATTTAGACAGGTAGAAGGATATTTTAAACCACAGTTTTTAGGTTCTGTGTTTTAGAAAGGTTTTCTTAGTAAGTTTGATTTTTCTGCCCCACTCTGATAAAACAACTGGGGTTGTTCCTGTACTTCAGGAACTGCACAGAGCCATCAGAGTTTATTGCTGAGTGTTTCCACTCCTGCTGATTTTTTTGCTCGAAAATGTTACTGTCTCCTCATACAATTAATTAATTATTTCATTGGTGTGACCTTTTAGTAGCCATGAATAGCACAATAATGATCACAGAAAGAATATATATGTTAATCTTAGCATCATCTGACTGTTAGCAGGAACTTGGGACCGAAGGATAAAGGCTTTGACAAGCTGAGGGTGAGGTGATTGCATCGACAGCACAGCAGAAGTTTAACTGAACAGAAAAATCGTGAGGTGAAACTTAAATACTGAGAAAAATATTTAAATGAAAATCTGCAGGTGTCATTAACCACCAAAAGTTAGTAAGATGAAATACAATCTACCTGTCAACCAAAATCAACCCACTTAGTTACTGTTCCTACTTAGATTAGCACTCTTTAGGAGTCCTGTGTTTATTTACTTACAATTCTGCATTATAAGGGGCACCCCAAGTGTTCCAGGAGTATTCTGATGAGCAGGTATTTTCTAGGAAGTTATTTTCCAGGAAGTTATTTTCCTTAACATGTTTTGGATTGCTGAGCACGTTCATTCTGTTTTTCAGGTCTAACAGGGTTAAAAAACATCGGGAACACTTGTTACATGAATGCAGCTTTACAGGCTCTTTCCAACTGGTAGGGAAAATGATCCTGTGGGAAATGGGGATTTCCTCTTGTATTTTAACCACCTAAAAAAAAAAAAAAATCTTCTGTGTTTTTCTTTTCATTCAGCCCACCTTTGACACACTTTTTTCTGGACTGTGGGGGCTTGGCCAGAACAGATAAGAAACCAGCAATTTGTAAGAGTTACCTCAAGCTGATGACAGAACTCTGGCACAAAAGCAGGTATTGCATCATTTTGGTGATGAAATAATAACAAATAGACCTCCAAAAAAAGATAGAAAATTCCACTTAAATGCTTGCTTTTTAATGGTTATGTATTTAAATCTTTTTTTTTTTTTTTTTTTTTTTTAGGCCTGGATCTGTTGTTCCTACCGGTTTATTTCAAGGAATTAAAACTGTAAATCCAATGTTTCGAGGCTACTCCCAGCAGGTAAAACTGTCTGATGTCTTTTAAATCCACTGAAAAGCTGAGGCAGAAATCTAAAATTGGAGACCATATTTGTTTAAAGCAAATGCCCTGTAAATTTGAGTTGATGTGCTTCAAATGCAGATTATCTGAAATGGAACAATCAGCAGTTAAGTCAGGTTAAACAAGATAAAGGTATTCAGAAATAACAGATTATTTTGATGTATTTCTCTACCAATGATGCTTTTTTTTTTTTTTAAATTAAATAATATGTAATTAGAAAAGCTTAGCAGTACCTTCCAGGGGTCTGTGTTTATTAAAGGGAATTTTGCTGATTCAGTTGGTGTGCTTCATATTTGTGGAGTGGAGGATTAGAACACATATTTTAATGATCAAATGCTGCATGGGGCTGTCAAGTCATTGTCCAATCTTCAGGGAGAAAAAAGGAATTATATATATTATTATATATATATTTTTTTGTAAAAGGATTGCCAGCAAAGTAGGGGTTTTTTATTACCCAGACCTCAAACTCAAGCCTGAAAGTTGTAATTTCGAAGAAAAAGAACATTTTTTTGCTTAATAATTACTATGATGGATGGGAATGCTGAAATCAGAATGATGAACCCCCAAAATCCAAAAAGGAGCCCAGGAGACAGCAGAAGCAGCAGTGGTTGCCCAGAAAAGGCTGGTTTTTCTCACATGCTTTGTTAGAGGTTCTCTGTTGCCCAGGGCAGTTGGGGACTCTTGTTGAGGCTTTGGAAGAAGAATTAAAATCTTGTTGACAAATGGCTGTAGGAAGTGGGTGTGGTCATTATTCTTTAACAGCCAGCTGTAGTTTATTTTTATATATATGTAATTCATTTTCATTATCTGTATCTTTTCCTGATAATTACTTTAACATGTTCCGAGTCCAAATGGCCTGGGAACGTAAACCTTGTTCCAAATCCTAGGATGCCCAAGAATTCCTGCGTTGTCTGATGGATCTGCTGCACGAGGAGCTCAAAGAGCCGGTGGTGGAAGTGGAAGATTCCCAACCTCTGAGCGCTGAGGAGAGCATGGAGGAGGACAAGAGCCAGTCAGAGCTCAGCTTCCAGCCCTGTGAATCCTGTGGCAACTGTGAGAAAGCAGACAGCGAGGCAATTTTCAAACCTGTGCTGGAGGATCCTGCAGAAACAACCATGTTGATCCAGGAGGACGACAACAACTCGGTCACATCCAAAGACTGGCAGAAAGAGAAAGGACCAAGCAACAAGCTGAAAAGAGCAAACTCCCTGGAAGACTTGGAAAAAGACACAAACACCGCTGCAGACGCCACTGAATTCCTGAATAATCAAACTGTCAAAGTGCAGATACACAGCAGGTTCTCAGGTAATGCATTAGTGGAGTCCCATTGTTAGCCAGGATATCTGTGGAAGTGGAAGTGAGTTAGAGAAGATATTAGAGGTGTAGGTCAAGCGGGGTGGGTGATTTGATTGTAAACAATGTACCTATTCGTTTATTTTTTCCAGTTCAGGTGTCCTGAATTCGATTTTAATTCCCTTGAAAAGCCATCAGTTTGTACTGGGTGAGGTTTCAGATAGTCCAGGAGGGTGGGATTTTCTGGTTTTGTTCTCGAGTTCAAAGGCACTGAAATGGTGCCTGAATGTCCAGTGACCCGGCACTGTGGTCAGTTGGGTTCCACGATCATTGTGCCTGTTCATTCTGCAGTCATTTTTCCCCTAGACTTTATGCAATAATGGCAGTATTAATTGCAGAATACATCAATGATGTCCACATGAGTGACGTGTCTGCAGCCCCAACCCCCTCAGCAGCAGAGGGGATGAACCCACGCTTATCAAACAGCCCTCCCAAATCCTTCTCATCCTGCTCTTCGCTGGCCCCAGTCCACAAAAAAGGTACAGGCCCTTTATTTCCTCCCCCTGCAATGATTTCCTCGGTGTTGCAGTTTTCATGTCTTGTGTAACAATGCAGTGCTGTTCTTGGAGGGGGTTTTTATGGCCTATTTCTCGTGGGGAGAGAGAAGAGAGCGTTATGTAAGCTGGACATAAAACATCCCTGCTGTAGTTCTGTAATATTCTGGTTCTCCTGAAGCATGAATAACACTTAACCTCTGTTTTGGGAGGGTGGAATAACACTTTTAGACAATTTTCTCAATGGGTTTGAAGAGAGGAGAAACGTGTAAGAAGGTAGCACCCCCAGAGCCAAAACCTCATGCAACTTTAATATTGTGATCCTCTGTGATTCAGCAAGCTGTCCAGGGGAAGTTCTGATCATCTTCATGTCGTCCTTTGAATGCTTTAATTGGGTGTTGAGTGACAGTGGTTTAATGGACTTCAATCAGTGACATCCCTCTGGTTTGCTGTTCAGTTGTTCAGCAGTTCTGACACTCCACCTGTGCTCCTGTCTCCACTTTGGGCTTCACCACTACAGGAGAGTTTCAGATAAACTGAAGCAGGAGAGGTTGAAAACCCTGTTTTATTTTAATAACCTGGAGTTAGGCTGCACTCCAGAGCTGCATTTATTGTGCCCCAGCCCCCTGTGATTGGTGTTGGGATACAGGAACCTTGTGTGTGAGCTCTGCAGCCCAACGTGGCTAAAACCTGCTGGGGAGTTGGGATCAGATGAAGTGTCAGGCAGCATTTTTGACTTTCCCCCTCGGGGGATTGCTGCCAGGATGAGTCTCGTGGCTGTGGGTATCAAAACTGGCAGTTGGAGTTCTCTTGACAGAGGCAAAATTTGCTGATATTTGTCCCCCATAAACTGCATGAGGAACCCACGTGTACTGACTGGCACTGGCAGCAGTCTGGTGGGGAGATTTCTACGAAATATTTAGTAAATAGCAATCAGGGCTTGGCTCATCGTTTAACCCTAAATATGTGTGACTTGCAGCGATGCAAAGTTGAAGGGAATCAGATCTGCTGTGTTTTGATTGACTGCAGCATTTCATTTCTGTCCTTTCGCAGTTCCAGCCGTGTCCTCCCCCAAGAGGAAGAGGCGCAAGAGGTACAGGAGTGTCATCTCTGACATATTTGATGGCACCATCATCAGCTCGGTGCAGTGCTTGACTTGTGACCGGGTGAGTGAGGAGAGGAAGTGCCTTTGTGTTCTTTTGAGGTGGTTTTGTGTTTGTTTACTCAGATTGCTGGAGTAGCTGCCACCAGCACTTGGTGCTTAGCACAGCTGGTGTTCGCTGAGCTGGGTGTTTACTCAGAGCTGCAGATAACATTGTGAGGATTAGCAAGGGTGGAGAAAGAGCCTTGCTCTCCAACTTCACTTAGGTAGGATTAGTTTTTAATAATAGTCTCAGTTTCCCAATCTCCTCAATATCTGCTGCTGTCCTGAGTTCTCAGGTACCTGTTGTTGCAAACAAAAGATAAGACAGAAGTCTGATCATACTGCTGGAACAGTCTTGTCAGGTAGATTGGGGTTAACATAATTCATATCTCTCATAAAATCCCAGTTAAAGACACTTTTACAGGTGATAGGAGTCATTAGTTGCTGTCTGAAGTTGTCCTCTACAGCAAGATGTGGGGCAACATAGGGAAAATAGTTGTTGGGTTTTTTTCTCCTTATTTATCATTCATTTGCTAGCCTGTGGAATTTTCAGTTGTACAATGACTTAGGAGCTACCGGTGAACTTCAGAGAATTGAATTTAATTGCAGTTTCTCTTGTGTTAACTCCACCGTGTTTCATCTGTTTCCTTTTTTTAGCTCTCTGTAACTCTGGAGACCTTTCAGGATCTGTCCTTGCCTATTCCAGGGAAGGAAGATCTTGCTAAACTCCACTCTGCAAGCCATCAGACATCTCTGGTCAAGACAGGGTCATGTGGAGAAGCCTATGCCCCCCAGGGCTGGATAGCCTTTTTTATGGAATATTTCAAAAGGTAAACAATATTTACCTTGTTTGGTTCAGCTGCCTATTTTGACATTCTAGTTTCTGCTCTTCTGGCAGAACATTTGTTGGTTTTCTTTCTTCTCTGTCAATGATGTTTCAGGTTTGTTGTCTCATGTGTTCCTAGCTGGTTTTGGGGTCCAGTTGTAACCTTACAAGATTGTCTTGCTGCCTTTTTCGCCAGAGATGAGCTCAAGGGTAAGAGGTTCATTCCATCAACACCTTTCTTCTGGGTTTGTTTTTTTTTTTTATCCTCCTATCCCAATAAGATGATTAATATCTTCTTAGCTTGATTCAATTAAGCAGAGGCCACCTGTTAGGCTGTTGTTCTTTTGGGATCATTCCTTTCCAAAAGGTAAGCTGCTCACTCACTTGAATATTTGAGATAAGAAATGCCCCTGAAAGCTGCTTTAGAAATGTCAAGTACATCTGAATTTGGTTTAGTGAAATTCTATAAACTGGAGGTTCATAAAAATGTCAAAGCCCACGATATTAATAGTCATTTTCATAAGCTTAATATGGACCTAATGAATTATTTCCCTTTTAAACGACTTAGCATCATCCCTTTAGATTATGCTGCTTTTATAGTGGAAAATATAAAACCTAAGAAGCTTTCTCTGTAGCTGCTGTGTCAACTCTCTTACAGCTGTTAAATATTGAACGCAACCCAAAGATAAATCCCTTTGGAATGTTTAAATGTATGCACTTGAAGGATGTAACTGTTTGGATTTGGAGCATAATGGCTGAATTTCTTCTCCCTGACATTTGCAGGTGATAACATGTACAGCTGTGGAAGGTGTAAAAAGTAGGTTGGCTTTTACCTTTGTTTTAAAACTTGGAGGTCTTTTAATGTCCCTGTTAGTCAAGAGGCATTTATTTCTGCTCATCTTTTGATATTGCCCTGTTTAGTGTGGTTTTTTTTTTCCTCTTTTGCTGAATAATCAGCTCTCATGGAAACCAAAGTTCTTTCCTTTGTGCCAAGAGAAAGTGTTTGCTACTTGGGCCTTGATGATCTGTGTTTGCTGCTTTCAATTTTCCAGCAGTTACAGATTGTCTTGTCTCCTAAAGCATCATTATTTGTATCATCTTGGCTAATCCATAGTCTAGATTCCAGAAATATTTTGGGTTTATTATATCATGTCCAGCCCAGACTTTTCCTGATCTGGCACAATGAAATAAAAAGTTTTCAGAGCTAAGCGCTGGTTGTTTTTGTTGTGTTCTGTTCTCTTTGCTTAGGTTAAGAAATGGAGTGAAATTCTGCAAAGTGCAAAAATTTCCTGAGGTACAGTTACTACTTTCAAGCGCTTTTTCTGCATGATTAGGAGCGTGCTAAGGCTGATGAGCTGTGTGGAGTAAATTGTGCTTATAATGCTGATGAAAGCCTGTCTTCATATTGGCATTTGTTTAAGAACGTTCGAGCGATATTTGATTCTTCACCCTGTAAGAAAATGACTCTTGTAAATGCCAAGTGGAGTTACAGGAATGGGATTTTCCCGTGCTGTTACTGTCAGCTTTCAAACAGTAACAACATTTGTATTTATATTATTATATATACTACTATTTACACTGCAGGGCATAGAGTTAAACACCACAGGCAGGCTGGAGATCTTTTTCTAGAAGTGACACTGGGAACTTTATGTTTTAAAAGTAATCCAGTCTTGTGCTTCGAAGTATGAGTTGGTGGCTGCAATAATCAGGAAGGATCAATGTCCCTCGTGCCAGGATTGTGCACTGAGGAAGAGGACAGGTGTGTTGTTCACTGCTGCCTCAGTGTTGGAAGCCACAATTATTTACAAAAAAATAATCAGTGGAACACACAGCTTGGGAATAGTTGCTTCAGGTCACAGGGAGAAGGATTCCTGGGCTGATAAACAGTTCAGTTATTTACACCAAACAGCCTGTGCAGTTCCTGTTCCTGACTGAGCCTGTCCCTCCTCCCCCCCAGATCCTGTGCATCCATCTCAAGAGGTTCCGCCACGAGCTGATGTTCTCCACCAAGATCGGCACCCACGTGTCCTTCCCCCTGGAGGGGCTGGACCTCCAGCCCTTCCTGGCCAAGGACAGCCCAGCTCAGATTGTCACCTACGACCTGCTGTCTGTCATCTGCCACCACGGCACTGCCAGCAGTGAGTACCAGCTCCCTTCTTTGGGAGGGGGTTCCATTGACTGCACGGTGAATGGATAATCTGCCTTACTTACTTACTTTTTTGGGAAGGGCTTACAAACCATCCCAGGGGAGCCAGGAATTTTTTAAAAAGGTGGATTATCATTGCCATTTATCCCCCCAAAACCAGGCAGGAACTGCTCTTGGTGGGTAGTGATGTAAGGAGCTGAATAAACATGTTATTGCTACGTGTCAAGGTCACATCTGCCCAGATGCTTTTAATATTTGTAAGATTTGGAAAACAGGAGAAAGAGACCTTTTAAGCCAGTAAGTTCGTAGATTATTGTAGAAGTTACCCCCTCATATTTCTCAAACTTGAGGTATCCATAGTTTGAATGAAGTTTTTTTTCTTTTTTTTTCTGGATGCCTTTTTAACTTCCATTTAGTGCTTGCTGATGGTGCTTCACATCATCAGTTTAGCCCATACTTCATCATTTACCTACTGGCAGCTGGACATGCTGAAAGCAGTGGTGTTCAACTCCCCAGTGACAGAAAGACAGGAAAAAAAGCTGATGTTGAGTTACAAAGAAGATATTCCAGTTTTATCTGCTAACGATTCTGTGTTTCTCCCGCTTAAAACTTGATTTTTTTTGTGGTTGTTTTTTTAGGACTTCCCTCCTTTTCATTTAGTGCAGAGTAAAATGCTCTCTTTTTACCCAGCTCTTTCTTGTGCCCCTGCAGGTGGACATTACATAGCTTACTGTCGCAACAACCTGAACAATCTGTGGTACGAGTTTGATGACCAGAGCGTCACAGAGGTGTCAGAATCCACAGTGCAGAATGCAGAAGCCTATGTTCTCTTCTACAGGTAAGAAATTCAAAAGATGATCGTATCTTTTAAGTCAGATATGGAACTACATTTTTAAGCATTGGGGGCAGCTTTTTTTTTTTAACTGCCCCCCAAGAATTGTTATGGAACAATTTGACCAACCAGAAAAGCCTGTGCTGGAGAGAAACTCAATCCTTCAGTTATGTCCTTAATATTTATCAGTGCTAAAACATAGGGAAGTTAAAATGAAAATGAAACCTGCCCAGATAAAGCACAGTGAGGTAAATGGAGTTGAAGCAGGAGTTAGAACTTGCCAGCAGTTACCTCGTTCTCATTTAGAGGGAGGGGATTCTGCTCAAGGGGAGGTTTTACACACAAAAGGTTTTTAATTGTTAGAGCTGGAATTGTGCAAAGGCTTTTTCAGGTTGGGGTGTGGAACAGCAGAGGTTTTACTGCCTTGGAATTGAATGTCAGGGAATTTATAAGCATGGAAAAGTGAGATGTTGTTAATCATCTTCAGTGTAAGGGATTTAATATTCCAACTTTTAAGGGTTTTGTTAAATAATTTTGATCTGAATTTAAACAATTAATGAATTTTAGTTGGGTTGCCAGCCTTTGTTTTCTCCTGCTGTTCAATCTTGTTGTGCTGTGCTGTAAATTGCCCTGCTGCTCTGTGTGTTGGGGACAGGAAGAGCAGCGAGGAGGCTCAGAGGGAGAGGAGGAGGATCTCGAGCCTGCTGAGCATGATGGAACCCAGCCTGCTGCAGTTCTACATCTCCAGGCAGTGGCTGAACAAATTCAAGACCTTTGCAGAGCCAGGACCAATTTCAAACCATGACTTTCTGTGTGTGCATGGAGGTGAGATTGTCCCTGGGAATCATTTCAAAACAATTTTTCAGCTCCTGGCCATGAACTGGGGGTGGGGGGGGTGTGCACTTCTTTTGTTTAAAGGAATTTGACTCTGCTAAGTTCATATTGTAAATTCTTAGGTAAATTATAACTTCTAAGTGAACTATTTGTCTTATTTTAGTAGCTGACTAATGGGAAATGATACTGTGTGAAGTTACCCGAATTTTTTCCTCTCCTCTGCACGTTTGGTTTTGGTTTTAAACTCCCTTCATTCTCAGAGAGGATCAGCTTGGCTCACCTGCTAAAAAACAAGTGTATTCCCATTCAACACTGCCAGCTCTGCCAGCCCCTCTTTTTCTGCCTTCCTGAACATTTCCCTGCTTTCAGGAACTCATGGTTGAAGTAATTCCAAAAGGTCCACAGCAAAGAAGGGAATTTGGAGTAGATATTTTGGTAATGTGTCCACATGCACAAACGAAGTGTTTAATCACTAACCTTTTAACTGGATAGCTTCAGCTTTTTGAAATCAGTATCTAAATTGGATTCTAGCTCTTTAATTTTTGCCATTCATGGAGTTTGCTCCTGCTTTTCTTTATAAACTTTTCAGCTTCATGAAAGGCTAAAATTTAGAGTGGTCTCTGTAAATACAGTAATAGGTTATACTGTGATAGAACTTGTTTCATGTGATTTCTCTGAATTCACTGACAGCTTCTATTTTATTTATTTTGATTGCTTGATTTTCTTGTTTGTTTTTTCTCCTGCTGCAGGTGTTCCCCCACACAAAGCCACCTTCATAGAGGACCTGGTTGTGATGCTACCTCAAAATATATGGGATAATCTGTATAGCAGGTAAGTTTGGAACCATCACTGATTAAAAAAAAAAAACCCAGTGCTGCAGTTTGAGAGCAAATAACGTGCCAAGCAGCAACATCAGACCTCAGAATCAGTGTCTGAGGAAAGAAAAATTACTCCAGGCACAAAGCTGAGGGAAAGGCTCGAAAAAAGCCAATTAATTTAATTTTCTTGTGCAAAGCAGTGCTAAAAGGCTCTATAAAGTGGGGTGTTATTGGGGTATTTCAATATTAAACCACTAAACATGTATGGTATGTCCAAAATAACCAAAGTAGGGCAGCAAATGCTTTGAAAGAGCTCTCTGTGTCTCAGCTTCCTGTTCTCTTTTTGGCTGGACACAGCTTGGCTTTCCTGTTGGCCTGGAATTCCCAGCCTGCCAGCTCTGCTCCAGAATAACTCATTTTGTATTGATGTTTTAAGGTTTCAGTGGACAGAAATGAGAAATAAAAGCAGGGCTGTTTGCAGCTTATTTCCACTTTTCCTGTGCGTAGTGAATTTTTCTTCCCCTGTCCATTTTCTGTGTGCAAAAGTTTAATCTGAAGGAAAACGTTTTTGAACTTCCCATTGATCTGCCTTGTCTGTAAATACCTTTAACAAGAGGCCAAACTTGAATCATGTGATAGAAAAGTCACAGAGATTATCCAAACTATCACAGGGGTCCTCCAGATCCTGAGAGTGATGTGTCAGGAAAGAAAATATGAATTTAGAAAAGAGCTGTGAATTGTTATTACTCGACATGGTGTTTTTCACAAGGTTAATGCCCTTTTTTTTTTTTAACTTCCACTGCAGATATGGAGGAGGCCCAGCTGTGAACCATCTGTATGTTTGTCACACCTGCCAAATAGAGGCTGAAAGAATTGAGAAAAGGAGGAAAAATGAATTGGAGATGTTTATTCGGGTAAAAAAGTAAACATTTCTCCATTCTGCTGTTTCCTGACTGGCCCCAGGGCATTCCCAGGATTGCACAGGAGAGTCCCAAACAAATGGACTTCATCCAATGTCTGTGTACCTGTGCACAGTCACTTCATTCCTGGTGGCAGCACTAATGTCCTTGTGATCTCCCAGATAATTTACATGGAAATGTGCTTTTAATGTGTTTCCCAAATGGCTTTTTTATGGTGTTTTTTATAGAGCAGTTTGTTCTTTACACACTGCCAGTGGTCTGTGCTGTGCAAAAGCTTAAGGACAATAATTCTGCGCCAACAAAAATGTAATCAGAACCTTTGGTTCTAATTTAAAAAAAAAAAAAAGGCATTAGGCACATAAATGTAAGTAGTTCAGTGTGAAGTAAATATGGATCTGTAAAATTAATATCGAGGAGCTGCTGTGTTTTCCATGGGTTGGATGATTATGTGCTGGAATCTGAGTGGTAAAATCTAAAGATTGCTTTAGGGGATGGTTGCAAAACTTGCTCCATCTGAAACCTTCACAAGTTGTGTCGATGCTTTAGGTTCGTGACTTCAGAGGGGGAGGTGTGCCTGTGTTACTGCAGAGCTGAGAAGATCGTGGGTTTAAAGGTTTAAATGACTTCTTGTTTGTTTCTGAATAAGACTGTGAAAAGATCTGTAAGTCAGGACAGGTCCCAGTGCTTTAGATCAGCATGCCTGGCTTGGACCTGCTCTGCCACCTGCTCCAAATGGCAGGGGTGACACAAAGAACCTTCCAGAAAATGATGGAGAGACTCTTGGAAAACCCTGTTTTGTTTTAAAATGTTCTCTAGCAGCATAATGTTAATAATTACAGCCCTGAAAAGAATTCAGTGGTTTAAAGAAAAAAAAAAAAAACACACGAAAACTGCTTTATTTTTTTTTTCCTTTTAGCTGAACAGAGCATTCCAAGAAGAGGAATCTCCATCCACATTTTACTGCATCAGCATGCACTGGTTCAGAGAGTGGGAAGCATTTGTGAAGGGCAAAGACAGTGGTGAGTTGTGCTCCAGTTCAGAACACAGGGGATGGTTTGGGGTGGTTTGACAGGTTGCAGATAAATCATTCCCAGCAATGGGATAATGGGGCAGTTGTGGAAAGAAAGTTGCCTGTTTGCTGCAGCAGAAAATTGTATCCAAGTGCAAGGGGGGATGGATTTTGCTGTGCAAAGTGGCAGATAAAGCTGCAGCTTGTGCAGGAGAGGTAGCTCAGTTACACTGGGGGGATGATGTAACTTCAGGTGCCTTTAAAATGGAAATGGAAACACTGCAAAAATGTTCTCCAGTCTTGTCCCAGTCTGCCTTAGGACAGCTTTGCTAGGGGTAAGAGTTAGGATTAATCTGGGGTTTACATTGCTTGAAGATTTCCTGCAATCAGAAATGCCTCGGGAAAACGTGCTGCTGATTAAAAACCTGATTTTCCCCACTCAGACCATGCTGTTGAGCAGCACAAGGACAAGCAGTGACCAAAGGAGCTGCTTCTCCTCCCATTTACAAACAGAACCTCCAAGCTGCTGGTTTGTTTTCAGCTCTCCCAGTTTTCCTGTTTGTTTTTCTGTCACCCCAGATCCTCCAGGTCCCATTGATAATGCCAAGATTGCAGTGACCAAATGTGGCAACGCCGTGCTGAAACAAGGTGGGTGTGTCCAGCATTGCTGCAGCTTTGGGAATTTGGGTGTATTTGCTGGAATTTGGAAATCTGGTGCTTTTATTGCTGCTGTAAAATGGCAGTTCTAGTGAATCTGTGCTGTGCTTGTCCTAATAATAATAATTGTTGTTCCTGAGTACCAAGAGCTACCGGTTGTCAGCTTCATTGACAGACATTAGAAAAGATGTTTGTTACAGGACTTGTGCTTTATGCAGGTATGTGTAATTTAGAGCAGGTGGTTGTAAGAAGCAAGAGGTATAAAATTAACACAAAACAGACAATTGGGTTTGGCAGTTGGGGCAAGATAAAGCACAAATGCAGTTTACAGTTTTAAATTGGAATCCGTATTGTTTTTTATCTTTTTGTATCTCTTATGGGCTTATTTAATTACTATTCAGAATAATTATTTTATTATTTTTTAAAACATTTTTCAGGTGCAGATTCTGGACAAATATCTGAAGAAACATGGAATTTTCTCCAGTCAATCTATGGTGGAGGTCCAGAGATTATCCTCAGACCCCCTGTTCCTCCAGCTGAACCTGATATACTGCAGACAGAGGAGAAGATTGAATTAGAAACTCATGGTCTGTAGCTCCTGACAGAAAGATGAACTTGTAAGGAATCCAGCTTTTCCTTACAAAATGCCCCAAATGCATTCCTAAAAGTTTGATTCCCTTATGCTGGAGGCACAGCTCCCTGGGCATTCCATTCACTGCAGATTAGTAAGTTGAAATCTGCAGTGCAATCTGGTGAAATAGCAGCTGTGTCTCGTGTTTTGAAAGCCACGTGGTTTGTACACTTTGGAATGTTTGGTCAATGGATTAAAAAAAAAAAAAGATGTAATTTTTGAATTTATAAATAATCCTGTTCCATCCTTAGACATGAAAAACAGGGACAGATTTTAGAGATGTTCAGTAACCCTTCTGATAGCCACAAACTTCTGCCTGTCCTGATTGGTACAGTCTGGACAAAGCCAGCTGTGGGAGGAGTGGATCTGAAATGCACTGGAATCAGTGATAAAAAGGATTTTCATTTCCTAAACGCTCAGGAAAAAAAAAAGAATTGTCACTTCTTTTGCACTGTAAGTATGTGAAATGGGTAGGATATAACAAATACTCGCTGTGTTTGGGTGGATCAAACATTAGTGTAGGCTGAAGAATGTTTTAGGCAGCAAATGTCATAACTTATTACCTTTTCCATCTTATTATAGTCCTCTGTAACTCTCCAAACCTGGCTAGTGTCTTCAATGTGGCAAAAAAAGATTTAGTCTTCTCTAGGGTAACCTTTGAGAGCATGAAGTGTGAAATGTAAAATTATGATGGACGTGAGTGATATAAATTGCAGGAAATGAAGTCGTCTGGTCTCGTGAATTACATCCCTAAGCGTTTCACTCTGGAGGGTTTGATTGTGTTGTGGCAAATTTCCCTTGGCATGATGACCTTTAATGTCAGAGGCTGGATGAAATGTATATATTGCAAAGCTTCATGGAATGAATTCTACTGGAATGCAGAATGGCACTTGCTCGTGGTTTTGCCTGATACTGTTACCAAATAAGCAGCATTATTCCAGACTGGATCAATAAAAACAACTGACCTGTGGAATAGGTGGGGGGAGCTTTTCTAAATGTTTTTCATTTGTTTTGTGAATATAAACCCTCTGAAGTGCTGTGGGGGGCTGCTCTCACACCCATACAAGCGCTGGTAGGAAGGGGTGGCAGCTCTGTCTGGAAGGAACTCTTGGTTTCTTCCTCAGCCCACCTGACAAGGACACAGCTGAAAACACAGTGCTGCAAGTAAGACTTGGCACCAGTCAGTGGGAACGCTCTGATCTTGGCCTGGGGAAAGCTCTTCTAACTTCCCATTTCTGTTTTCATTGTCCTTTCTGCCATAACTAAACCAGGGTTTGTGCTGTTTTAACTGAATTTTTCTTTGATTTGAGGTTCTCTTAATTACTACAGCTCGCTAACAGAAGAATTTTTCCTCCGTGGCTGTTCTTAACTGGAAAGGTGGGAGATGTTTTCTTGGTTAAAGCACTGTGTGGTGATGGAGTTTGTGAAGTTATTGAGTGCTTTCAGTGCTGGTCTGGATGGTGGAACAGACTGGCCCTGTAAAATCTGCACGAGAGAAGGGGATTGAGTGCTGGGGAATGGAGCAGTTCTGTGCCAGGGAGCATTAAAGCAGATCACACCAAGAGTTCAAACACAGGGACACCAAAACCAAACCTGTGCTGGGCAGCAGTAACAAAAGCATCAGATGTGAGGCACAGGAGGTGATTATTCTGCTCTACTTGGTGCTGTGCTTGTGGTGAGGTCTCATCTGCACTCTTCCCCTCTGAGTGCCAATTGATGCTAAATACAGGTTGAGGAGAGGTTATTTTAGGGAGAAGCAACAAGGCTGGGTGTTAAAAAGGAGCTGTTCTCTCAGTGAAAGGCTGGCTGGAGATGCAGGGTGAGAATTGCTGGATAAGGGTGAGCAGTTTTCCTGAGGTGAGCAGGGATTTTGCCTCAGCTTCAGCTCGAGCAGTGGTGACTTGTTCTGGCTTTGGGAAGCCTGTTTGGAAATATTCTGGCAGTGTCTGGGAACCCCCAGTCAAACATCATCCTGTAACAAGACACCTGATGCCAGCAGAGTTTGGGCAGTGCCTCCAGCACCCTGCAAAAAGGGAGATGATTGTTTCCCATAAACCTTTCACCAGACTGTTTGGGTTTCTTTGTTCACTTGTTCCCAGCTGAGGAAACGCAGCAATGTGTTTGGGTGCCAGGGAAACTGTCATTAAAAGAAGGGAAAAAATGCAGCAGAGTCCTTGCTGGAGGTGTGGAAATCCGGGTGTGAGCTGCTAAAAGCCTGCAGGTCAGGCTGGAACTCCATTCCTCTCTCCTGGGGAAGCTGCATGGGGGGTGTCAGGGACTTAGCAGCTCCAACCTTGATTTCTCTCCATTTCTGATTTTTCTTTTTTCCTTTGTTTTTTTTTTTTTTTTGCAAGTAACAGCTGATTGTTCATCTGGACACCCAGCATCAGGGAGAGTGCTTCAGATACTGTGTAAATGGAGGGAAAAGGAAGAGCAGAACAACTACTGAGTTACTCAACAGTGAAATAAGACAGTTTTGTAATGTGTTTCATAGGTGAGAGCTAAGTAGTCTGTCTGCTTAGTGAAACAAATAAAACCAACCTGCCTGGTAGCTGATTTATTTAGGGTTTTTTACATATTTGATGTGTTTCTTCTCCCTGCTGGCATCATGTTTGCTGTGGGAGATGCTCCCTGTGCCATCGACAGGGCTGTGCCAGGAGGAATCGACTCCTGGCCGAGCTCCCCGAGCAGATGTGTCAGAAGATGGGAGCTACTGGGATGGAATGGGATGATAATGGACCCTTCCTGAGCTTCCAGCAGAGTGCAACACTCACTGCCATCAGCAAATATCCATTTAGAGCTTTCTGAATTGGTGCTGTCAGGTGTTTTGGCTCTATAATGCATTATTTGGATCAAGTTTGCATTTGTGGAGCAGAAGTTCAATAGGCCTGAATTTTTCCTTGGGAGGTCTGGTGTAATTTGATGTTCTATGCTAATGCATTATTGAAGAATCCTCCTTCTCAGCTTCAAAACCTACATAGTGATTGGCTTTTCCCAGCACAATATGCCCTAAAAGGATATATTTAGTCCTAAAAGGACTAAAGTCAATATTTCTTGCAAATTAGTATTATAGGTATTGATTTATAATCATAGTGCTGATATTTGAATTTTTTTTAATTGCTAGATTATCCTGTTATTCATAATTCAAATTGATTTGGAAAAGCAAACCTGAGATTTTTTTTTTCTTTAATTTTCCTGAAATTTACAGGAAAACTTAGAGATTATTTGATTAAAGGGGCAAGTGCTTTCTTCATACTTCCTACTGAACTAAGAGAATTCTGGTTTGAATTCCCTAAATACATCTGGCTTAGTGCAGCCTAAGCAGTTTTCTCACTGAAAACCTTTCAGCTCTTCCTTCTGCCCAGGAAATGAGGAAAACAAGTAGGCTTTCTGATTCTTCCAAACAGATGGCTTTCCTGGCTTCCCTCTGTCCTTTGGCCATCCAGAGCTGACAATTCAGAGCAGGAAGCAAAAGAAGACAGACAGATCACTTCCAGGGATGTTGCACAGAAATGGAGCTGGTTGCAAACAAACTCAGTTTGTATTAGCCTTCCAAATCTTAGCAGGTTAGAATATAAAAAAAAATATATATATAAAATATATTAAAAGCTTTAGTTAAAGGTACATTCTTGGAATAGCTTCCCTGGTGAGGAAGTAAATCTGAAAGTACTTTGTTGAGAAGGATAAAGGGGGCAGAGGAGAGGAAGCATTTGATTCCAGAGAGTAAGAAAGAACTTCAACTGTCAACTGTCAGAAATGGAAAACTGCAATTTTTGTTCTCGTGTCTCACAGGACACTGCCAAGAGCTTTTCATTTGCACTGTCCCTGCATAGCTCTGCCCAGAAATGAATATTTTCCTGGCTGGCTCATTTAGTTCTGTCCAGTGTGTTTGCTGATGCAGATGCTGAACCAAGATGTCCTGGTTTCCATGGGGATTCGTTGCTTTTCCCCCCCCAACTTCCCCTGGGTGTCTGTCAGTGCCAAACCCCAATGGGCAGAGCTGCAGCCCTTGCTCATCCTGTCAATGCACTTTTGTTTCCACCAAGGCTCACACTTGCTCTTTAGGACCAGAAGATTGCTCTGAGATTTTCTGTTGTATCAAAGGGAATACACTCACTCACCCTAAAATGCTAATCAGCTGGCAACTGTTCATTCACTCAGTATTTTCAATTCCATCTTTCAGCCAGTTTACACTTTAGAAGCAAGAAATAAGACCTTTATTGCTGACCTTGGCCCGGGAAAGGCTGTTCTAACCCTCCACCTCTGTTTTTTATAGCTGTGAACTCTTCTTTGGGTGAATAATTTCCAGTGAGGGAAGTGCACTCTCTCCCACCTTGTTTGTTTGGAGGGTAATTAATTTGCTTTCCACCCAGGCAGTGTAGTGGAGATGATCTGTCTCCTGAAGTAGGTCAGTAGTAATGTGAACTTGCTGGGTGACCTTGACTTTGCACACTCCAGCGCAGAGCCTGGGCTGCCTGGGCTCTTCCTGGAGGTGTTGGAATAGATACAGATAATGGAGGCACTTCCTGAGCTTCTGCTCTGCAAACCTTCTCCAGGACATGGGAATTTCCTGGTCACACTTTTAACCTAAACCTGAACAGCGCCTGCCCTCCACTCTGGGTCTGAGCCCTGAACAGGGATCTCCCCTTCCTAAACCCCTGGATGATGGCAGTTGGTTGGAAATTTGATTGAAAGGGCCCTAATCCCAAGCTGGGCTTGTCTTTAAACAGCCCTTCTGGTGGGAATAAACGTGCCTAAAGGCTAGGCAGGAATCTGCCAGCTATTTATTTAGTTAGTTAGTTATTTAAACAGCTTACTTGAAAAGTGCTAATTTACGTTTGTCTGGTTTACCTGAACATACTATCCCTGCTGTTGGGGTTTGAGTGACAGTGGAGCCCTTTCCTACTGTAGAACCTGAAGGAATATGCAAGGAAATCAAAACAGGACTGGGGATATTCCATGACCTGCCACATCTTTATGGGGGTTATCCACAATTCTCAGCATTAATGATACCTAAGGGTGCTCCATCAGGCAACAGAGGGAGAAATGAGAGATAAAAATGGATAAAAGGAGAGGAGTTCCTGCCACCTGTCAGGGGTGCCAGCCCTGGAGTGGGACAGCTCAGTGTCAATTGGTGCTGATGGAGCACTGGGGGGGCAGCTGAGGAAACAGTGCCCAGGCACTTCCAGCTCACCCTCTAATCCCATTTAGTCCAAACTCCTGTTTCACATGTGGGAAATGTTCCAGGCACTTCCAGGTTCTTGCTGTTTTCCTGAAGCTGAGGAGTCAGATTT